ATATTGCGCATATTCTGCAGAAAATCAAACTGAAGTGCAATCTAGTATCACTAGCGCATGGCGATGCTGACTGTTGACTCGCAAATATCGTTGGTCCATTGATGTCCGGTTTCGTATTTTCTTCAGTCATCGCAATTTGGTTTTGTCATCATTTTTATTTATATTCCCTTTTAATGATATTACGTTAGCGCTATAAAATTTAGTCATTCAAAAAGAAAATAAAAAACAAGATGAGGTGTGTTTTATAAGATTCGAGCCGTTTTCAGTGGGTCCAACATTTCTTGTAATTTTAAACAGAACCGATTGAAACTTGTTATAACGAAGTTTTGTCAAAGCTGAGCTCGTCGTTCCTTAAGTATGAATGGATGTTTCTCTGCGCATAAATGAGATCCATTTAGATTGGACTTGTTTGTAGTTTGAACACTTGATGACAGTCCGATAGTGTTTAAAATCAGAATTTTGAGTCCTGGACTAAACTGAGATCGAGTCACCTAAGTCGCTGGTCGTGCAGAAATTGCCAATAATCTAAAGGTTGCAAATTAAGTCGACGATATCTATGGCGAGGGAGCTAGTTTGTTGAAAATGACAATCGCGTGGCATTATCTTATGACAGTTCACAGGAAAGATACGGTCTCGTTCAGGCGAAGTATTATCGACGCAATTTTAGAGAAATGGTGTGTCATTATGTAGGTCGCATCTATCACGGGTCGAGGAGTCGAACCCAGTTTGGCAGAAAGTAGAATTACCGCAGCCAAAAAAGACATCATATTGATAAGTTGACGGTGACCTTTGTCAGATGCTTAACACTAAGGACTAGGTTCGCATTTACAGCCGCCGCCTGTTGTACCCCCACACTCAACTATATCGCGCGAACTTGTTATCGATTTATCGAGTTTCAATTTTTTCCCCTTGATTTATAAGGCGACCGATCGAAGTGTGGTTCTCTCGCGTCGAAGAGCTCTTCTCTGCACTTAGCTGCCCACTACCTAATATGTTCATTGCATATTGCCGTTATTTCGTGTAGACGCTTCTTGTCATACCTACTTTTGCCCAGCGATACGGATAGAAGTGATTCATTCATCAGCGCGTTGCAGCGATAAATTGCACCGTGCCAGACCCTAGATCGAAGATTGATAGTCCTGAACAACAATTTACAAGTATTTCACAGATCCGTGGAGACCTTGATAATGATACACCTTTCTTAGTGATGGGCAATTTTCAGAACGAAAGTGTCTAAAATTCCTTGAATTTGACCAGCTCCTGCATTATAGTTTTCTTCAATTTTTTCCCCCAAAATTGCCTTGCTTTTCGGGACCATCAAAATTATTATTTGCTCTTTCCCTATTTTCCTTGTTTTTCAGGTTTTCGGTTACGCTCTGAAATAGTATGGCTCGTCGAAATTCTATATGAACTATATTTAATTAGAGGAGTTACGTACATTTTTTTAATTATTCCCCCCCCCCCCCCCCCCCCCCCTCCGATGAAAAACACGGAATGTACTGTGTACTCGTTTCTTTAGTTGTTTAAAGGAGAATTCGCTTAAAGAGATTTTTGTAAATCAGCATACACTTGTCTCCTCGTCCTCTTTATGAATTAGACATTTCGCCACTGGCAAGTTTTAAGAGAAACTTACTCACAACTTTAGAACTTTTTGTGATTTGGTTCAGCTCATTTTTCTTTGAAGAGAAGATCAAAAGAGAGAGAAAAATTGCGGCGAGTCTATTTAGATTATCCTTGTTCAAAAACAGAAATGAAATGCTGATTAAATTACTTAGGTATTTATTAGAACTAACGCCCAAGTAGCATCGATCGCAATAAATTGCAATTACGTCGTGGTAAAATTATTGCTGCAGCATCGGAGTGTTGTGTATGTTGCCTATCTACAGACTGACGGCGCACAGTTTCTTGCAATTTAATTAAAATAAGTTGCAAGTTTTCGTTGCATTGCATTTTGTCTATCTTTTTGACAAATGGAACTCATTTTGTTGATTGTTCAAAATCGGCATATATTGACCGATGTAAAAATATTGCAATTTCGTGGCAAAAAATAATCATTATGAATCGCAATTTTATTTCTACAATTGTATTGCACTATGCTACTTGGGCGCTTGGCGGGTAAGTTTCTTTTTTCGTGAGAGTAAGGTGCCTTTTATAAAATTCTGCTCGTTTTAAACTTACGGACTCCATCCTCGACAGTAGGACCATCAAAGAGTTGTCTTTCTTGCCTTCGCTAAAAACAGTCAGCGGGCCGATTATTGAAACTGATAGACAAAGCTATAGACAAAGAAGACATAGGGAGTACGGAGCGATCCTATTGGTTGACATGATTGGTTCTCATAGACTAAGGAAGAAAATGATGGACTAACTGTCGGGTCTTTGGTGGGCTGCCGTTAGTAAGTCCATCGCCTACCTCCTACGTCCATTGCCACCACCCGCCTCCACCAATAGGATCCCTCCAAATCCCTTTTGTCGTCTTTGTCTATAGCTTTGTCTATCAGTTTCAATAATCGGCCTACAGCGCGGCTCCGTGGTACACAATTGTTGTATTTATTAAATGTGTTATTTATGGACTTTGCGCATGTTTTGTTTTTAAGGTATTTTGTCTTATTCTTGCGTGATATTCAAAGTAATATTCCATCACAAAAAATAATCTGATTTCGCGATGAGGTCTTGGCCGATCTCTTTGAGAGTTTAAGCACAGCTCTAGCCCATCTTGATTACTAATTCAATGCGCGGATCTACGTGAGGGTTAACGGGCGTGTCGTCACGACACGAGGCGGCGAAAACGGCACCACGACCAATGGTTTTCGTTCATAATACCTATAAAACGGAGAATTATGAATGCATATCTACACGTTTGGAATTATGAAGATAAAGGAAAAGGTGAGCGGTAGGGGTGTTGAACTCGAAGAACCTCTTCGGCTCATATTCAAATGCTGGACACGATTCCATCACCAACACTGGTTGGATGGTTAGGGCGTTGATTGGGAAGGGGGGTGTGCTGCTGTTGCTATTGATATCAGTGCTGGCAAGGAAATACACCGCTCATTTGCAATGGCACAGTTTGTGGTCACAGAATGTTAAGAGCTGCGTTGTGGGTTATTCTGTTCAGTGATCAGAGTGGACAGGGTTTTCCTTTGTAATTCTGTGATAAAAACGATGCGGCGCTCGCAGTACTATGAAGTCGAATCTAAAAAGTGAGGCTACATGTGCATCAGCGACTAAATTGAGTCGGCTTTTAATCTTGGTTTGTAATATTTAAGTAGAATGGAAAAGTCAAAACGTGATTTGTAGTTTCACAACACCGCAGCAAACTTTTAGATAGGTACCGAGCCATACTTTGCTGCACCGTCCTTTTACTCAGGAGTACTTGTGCACATTTTTTCAACTTTAAAACCTCAAAATATCGTTGAAGAATATGTATGTGTATGATATTGTATACCCTTCAATGATTCATATGAAGCTTTATAATTATTACAAGCGTTAATTTATGTTTTATAGCAGTTTGCCGTAGTTTTTGAACTACTTATTTTGTACTTATGAGATTTTTGAACTAAACTTTTAGAAGAGAAACGTCGGAGATAGATGTTTTTACTCAAACCGCTTAGAATTTTCTTTACCGAGGTTTTACGCGGAATTTTGAGGAAAATTTTCGGAGCTTTTCCTGCACCGAAGAGAGAAACCTGAAAATTTTAATCCTTCACAGAAAGTTGATGAACGGTAATGATAAATCAAACATTTTCACATCACGCTACGGTCTATCAGAGAAATGGAGGAATATCTTAAAAGTTGGAAAATTTTGAAAAATCGGTTTGGACGAAGAATGAGGTTTTCTATAGGAGCCAAAAATCTCTCCAACCCCTTTGTCTGAAAAATTGCGGAATACTCGACTTCTCGTTGTCTAAATATACCTATTCGAAGTTATACGACCGTAAACTAACTTATGAGGATGAAAATTGAAATGTTCGTAAACGTAACGTAAAAAGTAACGCTAAAGGAAAATTGCGTCTGTTGCTTTGCAAAGTATATGTATTCGTGGTGCGTACTTTTTTAGTGTTTCCATGTCCATTATATGAACTTTGAAATTGGTTTTCAAAAATTGTTCGCTAGTGCCGCCTCACGATCTAACAAATATTGTTATTTTTTTATTTAGGTAAGTATTATTTTTTTCTACATGAAAAAGTAAGAGTTCTCGTGGTTTAAGATGTACCTATGCAAGCACCTCAAGATTTGTCAGGTTTTAATACGAAAAATGAAACACTTTTCTAGGCAAATCAAGAGACAATTCGGAGACAACTTAGTAATGCTGAAAGAAAATATATTTTCTGAAAAACCTGAGTTAAGTAGGTACCAGGTACCTATGGTAATATTTGGTGATTCCAGTTAGGGGGTTATGACAGGTGAAAAACAATAAGAGGGCAAATTTTTCCGAGGGATAGAACACATTTTTTAAGTGTGTTTAAGGGATTTACTTGTCCTATGATTAAGTGCGAGACCAAAGTAGATGATCTAATCCAATGTTCAGTTTTTAAAAAAGAGAAAAAACAGAAACTGAGAAAATTTGCTCTCTTGAGAATGGAGGGCAAGAAGCAAATAATTTTCATTGAGACTGAAGGCCCCCATTGACTGCAGTCCCAGATTAACTTGCATTCAAGAGAGAAAAATCACGGAAAAAGACTAGACGTGGGAACGAGAGAAATTGAAAATCACGCTGATAAAATGATCTATGAGACAGTCGGAAAACAGTGTAACCGGAAAACTTACGGTTGATCTGAAACACAGAAAAGTCTAAAATGCTGAATTTTTCACGAAAGAAATTAAAAATAATTTTGATCAGATGGTCTATGAGAAAATCAGAGAAGGGTGAAACTACAAACTTCCGGTTGATCTTAATCATAAAAACGTCAAAAAATGCGAAAATTTTCTACGAAAAAAAATGAAAATCATACTGATAAGTGGTCTATAGGAAAATTAGAAAGTGATGGAATCGGAAAACTTACGGTTGATCTTTGGTGATAATTTGCTCAAAAGTACAGAGGGCAGGAAAAATAAGGCACAAAATGACGAAGCCACTTCGGCTTATGATAACGGACCTGTCGAACATGGCTCATTTGGAGCCCTCAAAGTCGCTTTGAAATGAACTAGAGGATCCGGCCTGACAGAAGCGACTGACGCCGCCGGCTGAACGCGGGGACATGTGCACCGAGACAAGCGTGCTCCCTCATGTCAGCGCGGTCCCTCAACCTGTGGCACCGGGGGCCTTTTCAGCTCACGAACGACCTGTGCCGCGCCTACCGAACTGCAGCTAACCGGTAGGGATGTGGATTTTTAATCGATTCCACCAATATTTAAAAAAAAAAGAAAAAAAAAAATCGATTTTCTAACCAGAAAAGTGTTAAAATCGGATCGATTAGGTACTAACCACAGTTTATCGACCGAATCCCGTTTCCCTCCATTGGAAGCGTTTTTGCGATTTTTTTGGCTAATTTCGAAGTTATATCTTACGTTTGAAATGTTCAATCGCCCAGGTACCACGCAAAACGTCGCAAGCTATCACATAGTAAAAGTATTGCAATTCAACTGAGTGTTGTGTATAATGCCTAGCTCCTATTTGAAGGGGCTTCATTTTATTGAAATTTATTGCGATAAAATTGAATTAAGTTGCAATTTTTCATTGCATTGCATATTGCCTATCTTTCTGACACATGAAGCTCATTTTGTTGATTGTTTAAAATCGGCATAAATCGACTAAGTGATGGAATATTATTGCAATTTAATGGTAAAAAAATTACAATTGTATTGAAAACAAATTGCAATTTAATATCAATATTTTCGTTGTGCTGACGACTTAGATACAGCTATCGAGAAGGAAGCACAAACACAATAAAAATCGATACCCATTCAAATCGTCTTGCTGCCACGAATTCGCATTACATCTCGTAAAAAAACGAGCCGGAACTTGTATTATTACACCTGTGTGTGTGGCCACGTGTCCCTCTGATGATACAGAGAATGCCGCATCTGATCAATGAGTGCAAGAGGGAGGGAAAATATGACAGCGTAGGGACCCAGATAAGTTGAGCCTTGCTCCCCGTTTACCGCCGTGTTTTTCACGGCTCTCATTAAAAAGAAATTTAGGGAGTCCGCCCCCGTCGCACGGTAGATCGAGCCAATAGGAGAGGTCGGCCAAACTTTGGAAACTTTAAACGCTTTTAACTCCATTTATACAAAACGTTGAGGTTTTAAAAGTGGTGCCAATGGTTTTCTTGTGAAACTTTCTTCTAGAAATATCCCAAAAAATGTATAATGTGACGCAGGGCCGGATTTACCTACTTGCCGCCCTTTTCTCATTCGTTTTGTAACATCAATAAAAACCATCAAAAGGACGTGCCGGAGGGGGAGGGGTGCATAAGACGCGTTCACTCGAGTTGGATACATTTTTTGCGACAGCCCTGTCAACATTACTGGCAAAAGTTCACGGAACTTTGCGCGACCGTTCAATTCCGTTTCTAATCCGTGTGGACAAGGCCTTCCATTTGTAAGCAATGAACGAAAAAATTATGAAAGAACAAACATAAACGAGGTTTAATAATTTTAATTTCCGCCGCCGCGCCGCGTTGGCCGGCTGACCGCACTGTGTTTGGCGCAATGCGTGAAGTATTCTTACAGTCTCGTAGGCGCTATGCGTTTCACGACGACCGCTGCTGTTGACCGTGCTGTGTTTGACGCAATGCGTGAAGTATTCATGCACTCTTGTAGGCGCTTACATGCCAACCGCCACGCCGCCGAGGGCTTCTCCTTTTCATCTCAAGTCCTCGTCATCATTGCTCTCTGCGCCGCACCCAGTCCAGGCCAAATTAGGCACGTGCTTGGTTTCTCTCTTAACTCGACCAATTAAAGGTGCGCAGTCTTTTGTATCACCGAAAGACGGCAATATTAGAAATTAAAAAACTCTCAGGAAATGAGAGATTTTGTCACCTTTTCTTGTTTGTATATTATTTCTGAATCCGATTTTTTTTATACCTACATTGTAAAAAATTGCAAAATTTGCCGCCATGGGCCGCGGCCCATGTGGCCACCCCCTACATCCGGCCCTGATGTGACGAACTAAACATCAAAATTTACAGTTTTAGTCAAAAATTGCATGTCCGACCTCTCTGATTGACTCGATCCACTGTGCGTAGTCACTAATTCGTAGGGCCGGACTGGTGGGAAAAGGCCCGGATGGTATGGCCTAAGGGGCCGCGGCCCTACTACACCGCGGGAGGGGGGGGGGCTGGGGGTGCGAAATACCCCCAGGAAGACATAGCGTGAGGGCTCTCCTAACGAATTTTTAAAAATCTTCAACCAGTAGACGTAAACTTTTTTCAAAAGTAAGAGAAATACCTGGGCATCTAAAAACCTGAAAAATCGAGAATTATCTGAGAATTTTGTTTTGCATCGGAAAAAACCTTGAAAAACGTCATAGATGTCTGACTATAGTATTTCGTCAGTTTGCCTTTATTTTAAAGTGTACGCAACACAAGCTCCCACGCCACGGGGCCGAATAGAGGCATCACCCTAAGATATCATGATTGCTCGAGGAAGAAAGCAGGAAAGCATGGTGTGCGGAGCGGTGCCTTACCATTGGTGTCACCGTTGGTTCGCCTTAAGTTTTTAGTGAGGGCAACCCGAGCTCCCATGTGGCCGAATAATGGTATAACTCTCAGATATCACGATTGCTCGGGAAGGAAGCAGGAATAATTCGTGGAGCATGGAGTGGTGACTTCTTTTTTTTTTTGGTTGGCGAGATATTTTGCTGCTCATTACTTTGAAATCGCTCTGTGAAAGCATTTATATTCCTAAATTACTGGATGTATGTATCGAGCTGTTTGTATAATTAAGACACGTATAATACATCCTCTCTATTCTAATAGAATCATTTTTATGACACTTCATGGGCTGTGGTGGGCAAGCCTGTATTTTTGCGATCAAAAGTGCGGTCATGTGTCCCTTAGGGTCAGCTGGTTTCAGCCTATTTGATTGTTAATGTGTCATTTTTGTGGTGTATCATGTTTTGTCGATATATTAGTACCAAATTCAAAATGATGTTATCATTTCATTGAGTTGCCCAGTACCCTTGGCTTTTTGCAACAGGATGTATTATTCATTTGATTAATTTTAATACTTCTGAGAGAAAAAGGATTTTTGTGATTGGACGAGAAATGCTATGGTGTTTAAAAGTTTTTTTTTATTATTTTTTTTTTTTTTTTGAAAGAAAATAAAATAATAATAATATACAAGTACATATTTTTTATCTTACATCACGCCTAAGGAAACAAAATTGCCCCAGATCAGCACAAGATTGTCCGTTTCTATACAAAGTTCTTTCTACAGAGAGATCATATTGAAGAAGCATTTTGATGGTGAGGCTGCGGGAATATGTATCTCATTTGCAGTGTTTCAAAATCTTTGCTCATATTGTATTTAATCAGAGGTGAACAAAATAATGTTAATGCTTAACTTACATTGAATATTTCTCACATTGAGAGGAAAAATCAGAGAAGTTTTTTGAAAAATGACGTTGAGCGTTTATCGATTCAAGAAGTAAAGTTTGACGGGAAGTCTGCAATGTCACATACCGAGATGCGCATTCTTACAGTTACATCATCAATTTGTGAAATAGATAAAATAATGAGTTCTCAAAATTGTGAGCTCTTTCCAGAGATGTGAATGTGATCTTAGAGATAGGCAATTTTTGTTAATCAACACTACAACGAGGAAAATTTCCAGATAAGATTTTTGCAAATCCCCACATGTATCCATCCCTCATAAGAAACAAAATAGGAGCACTTATAATTTTCTTTAGAGTTCAATTTCATTTACTCTTCTTTAAATTTTAAGTTTCCCATTTTAACTGCGGTTGCAAATAAATCAATGATTATAATTATGTATAAAAGAAGATACAGGAAAAGATACTGTAAAATATCAGTTGAAAAAAACTGGGATAACTTCTTGAATAATTGAGAAGAATTATTCTTAGTTTCTGTTTAACATATAATTTTGACCTCTGACTGCTCGCGTCCCTCATTTGCGTCCTTCTTCTTTAATCCCTATATTTACACCGTATAAGATGATAGGAGCCCTGTGTGGGCAGCATGCACATGTCACAGGTCATACATAACACTGGACATCGGTGCTGATATTGACCACTAGAAAACAGCATTCTAGGGAAGCGATGTTCATGAGATCAAAATCGTACAACCTCTCGATATGTAGCTATTTTTATTCTCCTTGCTGGTCGATAAAAACATGGCCTCTCCGCAATGATGCTACACTTTACAAATAGTGCTAGATTTTCTATCTTTATTTTTTTATTTCATTTGGGACTAGGAAAAAAAAATAGGAGGAATATTTTGCTCCTCTCGATTCATGACATGAGACTTTGCTACAAAGCAGTCTTGCTTGTTTTAAGTCTGTAAAGTAAAGTTTGCTCCTTCAAATTCAACTGATAGTCGCGGGACAACAGTTTTCAGGAGCAGATACAGGATAGAAAATTGAAAATGTTCATTATTTCAATGCAGTGTAGACGATTTCGGTTGCCTGACGGCCCTGAAAAAGCGTTCCAAGCTTTGACACTTAAATTTCACTTTCTACAAAAACTTGAATGAATTCTTGTGTGAATTTTGTGATTTCATTTTTGATTTGTATCTGCTTCAAAATTTACTATCAAATTAAAGACACATGCAACATTTTAATTCTCACCACATTTTTCCCAAGGTAGAAAAATTTGAGTTACAAGAGATGACGCAGAACCCTGCAGGAATGGTGGGTAGAGTTACTCTTGTTGCAGATGTATGAAAAGGTGAGAATATAAGGGGCCTAATTTATCAACGTTACGCTGCATGACAAGTCTCAATGAATCTGTGTACTGCTTGTTGGGTGCATCAAGTGCAGGATCTCGCCACATAATACCATTGGCATCTGGAACGAAGAGAGTTGGGGAAGGCACATGGTCCCTCATGTAGTTCCAGACAGAATCTCTGAGAATTAGCACTACCTGTAATAATGAAAGTTGATGAAGTTAGTGAAAAGATCGAAACACTTGATGTTACAAAGTTGACCATGGATTGAAGTAAAATAAGATAGAATTTAATGATTTAAACCATGAAAATTAAAAAAAAGCTGAAGCAAAAGAGGAAATAAATTACATATGATCTGTGACCTAAATATAGTTTGGGTATAATTTCAGCGGGAGGAGGGGTAGCGATTAATATCATTGAGACAAAACTGCATGATGAATAGGTCCTGAAAAAAAAAAGATTCTGAAAAATGAATGATTTGATGTGAGAAAATTGTGCTGCATCTTTCCTTGTTACTACACTTATTTTATGTGAAGAAATCAACTTTCTAACAGCTAGAACAAGACTAAGTCTTACCCAATTTGGAGGTAGAGCATGCAGCGTGTGCTGTAGGGAGCTTAACGGCTGAGGAAGTAACTGCCCAAGAGCCATGATATCCAATAGTCGCGTTGTGGTTTTCAATAAGTTTGAATTTTTGTCCTGAATTGCATCTTTACTTTGTTGACTTGCTTTGCCCCATTCACTTATTAAAGTTGCTACAACAGCACGAAGCAATACTGAACAATAACATAAAGCTGGTCTGTGTTGAGCCACAAAAGCCAATAGCTCCCACGCAATCGGTGAACAGTCAAAAAGCCTCCTGATCTTTAAATCTCTCTCCACGGTCACCTAAGAAAATACAGAAAAAAGTGATAAAAAATATTATAAAGTTAAAAGTAGACTCTAAAGGTATCAGTAATCGGTACTCTGCTTGATTTGACTAGAGTACACTCTGGCTTTTCGATGAGTGGAAAGTGCAGATTAACGTAGACAAAAATTGTTATTTGCAGACTGAGGATTTAAATTTGAAAAGTTTTGATGCTTAAAATTTTGAAAAGGAAACATATAAATATTGTGGTATATAGACATATTTTGTACTCTGTTTAATGGTCCATTCTTGAGGCGTTTGCCATTAAGCTTTCCTAAACTTATGATCTAGTTTTTCTACTATTTTTCTTCTCAGTCAGACTCAGTATTAGGTCTAACAACAACAATGGCTGAATCAAAATTTGATTTAGGAGAAATGGAAAAAAAAAATTAGATGAGTGTGATTACCTTACAGAATTCTTCTTCAGGCCAAGGTAGGCCATTGTACATGACATCAGGGGAAATCAATTCAACTAGCAATAAGGCAATATTGATGACTGAGTCAAGCATAGCTCGGTTATCGCTTGCATTGCAACATGATGCAAGTGCAGCAATAAACAGCCGTATGTTGTTGTTAACAATTTCTTCTGGTAATTTGTCAACTGGTCGCTTGATCTTTGCTCCTGCACCAATCACCCCAGCATAGAACACAGACGACGGGCGGTGTGGTATCATTAAGCTCGTTCCCTATAAATGAAAATAATTCAGGGGTAAGAGGTACATTTGAATGATCAGAATTATAAGGTTGCAGTTTGCTGATCAGCTTAAAATATAGTTAAAAATAAAAATTGTGTACTAACTGGGATTTCCTGACTAAAAAATCTAAAATTATAGTTCAGCCCTTAGGTTTATACACTCTATTGAAAACTTTTGGACAATTTTCATCGTTTAGGTAACCCAAAGAGCCCATGTCATAAATCTGAGCCAGCAATATTTGATTTTATAAAAGGTAGAACACCATTTCCTTCGTCCTGTCTTTCCAAACGATCTAATTCCTCCTAAATGCTCTGTTTTTCCGTAACAACGAATATTCACTGTTGATAATCGGTGAATAGTGAAACTGGAACACTTTTCATGCACCGTACAAAAAATCAAGCATTTTCATGGCCGCACGAATCATTATTATACATCAGGATATCTTGCCACAAAGAAAGGATTTTTTAATCCTTTTCTAAACCCAAAGTAAAATAAGAAGAACAGAAAAAAACGAGAAGTGGTCTCCTTGCCTCTTTCTTTTCGCCAATAGACAAACAAAAAATAAATTCTGAAAAATTACAGAGATGAATCTATGAAAATCTATTCCCGTATGGGGGACTGTTGTCACAGGTTTAGCAATCCTGCGGACCCCAGCTGGTAGCCCCTGCCTCAAAGGGGGCAGTGGAGATGGTCACCGGCCTCTGGACGTATGAACCACCTGCTAGAAGGGCAGACAGGGCTCTGAGCTGAAGTGAAAGCAACCTGTCTAGGAGAGGCAACTCCGAAATCAAACCCTGGTCCTCCAGGTTGGGGGTTGAGTCATCGGGCTAACTCCCCGGTACTTGTAAAAAGTTTTACTGTTAAACGACCTAACAATACAAGCCTCGGTACCACCAGAACTAAACGGGCACGTCGACAAAAATTGAGAAAACGGACAATGGTATTTGGGACGTGGAATGTCCAAGGCATTTCAAATAAGTTACCGGAAGTGATATCGGAGATTCAGAAACTTGGAGTGGATGTCGCTGTTCTTACTGAGACCAAGAAAAAAGGGCACGGGTCAGAGAATTACGGTGACTATGATCTATTCTACAGCGGCGTAGCCAAAGATCAGCGTGCTCAGCAAGGAGTAGCAATACTTTTGCGGAGAAGCCTACGTAAGTTCGTGGGCACTTGGGAGGCCGTCAACCAGCGCATTATCAAAATGAACCTTAACCTGTACGGACATAAGATCACGCTGCTCGGAGTATACGGTGTAAATGATGATGCCACTGTCGCATGTAAGGACCAATTCTTCGAAGATCTGAATGATGAAATACTGAACGTTGGTGCTGGCAGGGAAGCCATTCTTATGGGTGATTTGAACAGCAGAACGGGACGACGAGTAAACTGTAAAGTTGTTGGACCGTTTGGGGAGGATGCTGTTAATGATAACGGTGATCGGCTCATCTCAATTTGTTCTCAAACTGAGATGAAAATTTTGAATGGCTTTTTTCAACACAAAGACATCCATAAGTACACCTGGGTCCAGCCAACGCGAGGATTGAAATCCATCATCGATTATGTAATTGTAAAGCACACTACTAAGTTGAAATTGCAGCAAGTTAGAGTGTGCAGGGGACTCTCTTGCGGCAGTGATCATCATTTCCTCCGAGCAGATATAGCGTTTCCCGTTAAAGGGATTAAAGATAAAGAGCCAATGCCTGAGCAACAGCAGAGTCAGGGAACGCAAAATCATGAAGTATGGTATAACATCGAAAGTTTGGAGCACCCTAGTGTCAAGGCTCTGTATCGGAAACGCTTAGATGAGAAGCTGGGGGATGGACTCTCGGGTACCACGGAAGAGCAATATCAGTTCATCAAAGATTGTATCCACTCTGCAGCGAAAGAAGCCCTAGGTGTTCACAAAACCAGTAATAAATACCAGCATCCTTACTGGTGGGATGAAGAAATTGAAGACGAGATAAATCTTAAGAGGCAAAAACACCTTATATTTCTGTCGTCTAAAAAGACTGAAGATAAAGTTGCTTACAGGAAAGCTCAGTCTAAAGTTAGGAGCCTCATAACACGGAAGAAGAATGAAGCTTGGGAAAGCAACTGTTCTAGAATTAACACCTACCTAGGGGGGAGAAAAAGTGCTGAGAGCTGGAAGTTAATTAAAGGTTTACGTAGAGACATGAAGCGCGACATCGTTTCTCCGATATCACTTAAAAAACTGGAGGATCATTTTAAAGATCTTTTGACGGAAAGGCGTCCAGAGTTTCGAGACAACAGCACGGACAACGGAAGAATGAACAACTTGGAGATCCACACTTGTGACATAATTAAAGCGGTTAAAGAGCTAATTAATGACAAAGCACCGGGTCCTGGTGGGATTCCTGTCGAGTTGGTCAAGTACGGGACTGCCAAGCTCTTTGAGTGCCTCAGAAAACTGATGCAACAATGCATCAGGGGTGACGAGGTACCAAGGGAGTGGAAGGAGTCTTGGATCAAGGCCATCTACAAAAAGAAGGGAAGGAAGGACGACTGTAACAACTACCGGGGGCTCTCAGTGACCGGGACAATAAGCAAAGTGTACGGGAAGATACTGAAAGCGAAGATCGAGGACGAATGGCAGGATCACGAAGCAGAGGAGCAGGCTGGTTTTAGAGCTGGCAGGTCTACGATAGATCACCTCTTTGTTATTGTCCAGGTCATTGAGAAGAAAATGGCCGTAGCTCAAGAACTGCATTTAATTTTTGTGGATCTCCAGAAGGCGTATGACAGCGTGCCGTTGGTGAAACTTTGGGAGGCCTTGGAAAAATCGAATTTTAACGGGGGGTTGATTGACGCTGTTAAGCGATTTTATAAAGGGAGTTTTACCAAAGTTAAGTGCCATGGGGGGTTGTCAGCGGGATTTTATGTGACTAAGGGTTTAAAACAGGGATGTTGTTTGTCGCCAACATTATTTAAAATTTATCTCGAGTGCGTGCTAAAAGAATGGAAAAAGAAATGCTCTGGTATGGGTGTCCCCTTGGGTGATCTCGAAACTCTGTTTACTCTGTGCTTTGCTGATGACCAGGTGGTGGTTGCTCAAGATCAAGATGACGCGGAATACATGATGCGCAAGCTAGTAGAAGAGTATCGGAAGTGGGGTCTGGAAGTCAGCATATCCAAATCTGAGAAGATGACTTTTGGCGGTGATCAGCAAAGCATTGAGTTGGAGGATGGGCAGCAGATCAAAGGCTGCGAGCACTTTAAGTACTTGGGAGTGCGGTTGACCCAGGATGGAAGGACGGATCAAGCTATCAGGGAAAGGAACACCTTAGCAAGGAAGGCTATAGCGATGTTAAATGGAATCCTCTGGGATCAGCGGATTTCCAAAGATAACAAGAGGAGGATATACAACGCTGTAGTCAAAAGTATATTAACATACGGATGTGAAGTTTGGCAGCTGAAGAAACGGACACAGGATATGCTAAGAGCAACGGAGATGGATTTCTGGAGAAGGTCAGCAGGAATTTCTAGGAGAGATCGGGTCCGTAATGATAGAGTGCGTCAGATAATGGAAGTCGAAAATGACATCGTGTTCGACGTCATGACCAAACAACTTGTTTGGTATGGTCATGTCAGTAGGATGACGGAAGAGAGGCTGCCAAAAAAGATGCTTGATTGGGTTCCTCCTGGGAGGAGACGTAGGGGACGCCCAGTGAGAGGTTGGCGACAGGGGGTGTTAAATGAAATAAGAGATTGTCAACTCCCTGATGACCTGTGGGAAGACCGAGCTTTGTGGCGATTAGGCGTCGCACAGCGCCAAAGAGCGCTATAAAAGCGACTCATATATATATATATATATCTATGAAAGATACCTGTTTTAAATTTTCTTCTAGCAAATTGACGTGAAGAGAGCTGTAGTCTGATTCTTCAGAGATCTTTGAGGCATTGAAAAGTTTTGCTGCGGGTCGGAATAGAGCTGTTTCAATTAATTCGCGGTATAATAAGCTTATCACATGCGGTGAAATAGAGCATAACTGTTTCAAAATGTTGTTTATGACGTTGCAAGACTTTTTTTGCTTGACTCCATCTGAAATTTGAAAGCAATAAGGTAATCAATACGTCAAAGATGAAAATTTATCGACAAAAATCAAACGGATGTCCTACAAGAAAGAAAACAATATTAATTAATATACAATTTATTTTACGCTTTAAAAAAACGTAAAAGGATAACATGCCTCCCTCACACCTCACTGTGGTGTGCCCTCACTAATTTTGGTAATTGATCAGACAGAAAAGGGTTTCGAGACCCCCCCCCCCCCCCCCCCCCNGGGGGGGGGGGGGGGGGGGGGGGGGGACCAAAAAGACCATGAATGTTTTTTTTAAAAAAAATTGTAAAAAGAAAGTCCTGCCAACTTACACCCTGATTCGATATCAACCTTTATGTTTTAACAAACAGAGAAACAATTCTGATCCCTCAAGATGAATTATAAGATCACAAACCTTCTTCTAGACTCAGGCACTTGAAGAAATAGGAGACGGTTGAAGTGGCCAGCGAAATTGAAAGTGGAATACTCAAAAGCCTGTGTTTAGGTTGAGAGATAGCTCTATTGATGGACAAAGCGATACAATGTAGACATTTGATATTAGTGCGACTTTGTAAACATTCTGATGCACGAGCTAGATTGTCCCACATAGCCTGGAGCATTGGAGAGCACGTATCTCCCATATTTTTCTTGCTTTCTTCCCACCTGTGGGAGGAAAGAAAAATTAAAGAATCAATAGAAATTGCAGAGATTCAAAGCTTACGGAAAAACCAAACTTGTAGGTTTAAAAAATTTTGCCCAGGTAAAGAAATTCATACCATCACTCTAAAGGGAGGATAAAGAGGACATAATGAGAGATTCACATTTTGTCACTAACAAAATAATACTTCAAAATCATAACAATATATGAGCCACATATATGTACATAGCAAAGCTAACGTGCAAACTGTTGCTTCAAAAATAAAATAAAATAAATAAATGCAATCTTGTATATCGATGGTGAAATCATAAACATTTACCTTGATCTTCATGTATTTTACATTTCGCCTCACTTCATTTTTTTAAAAAAAAACCAATGTAAGTACTTGCAATTATTATTTTAGAGAGTATTTTTACATGCTAACAGAAAAATTTCTCGATTATTAAAAAACAGTTGGCTTTTCAGAAATTAAATAAAATAGGGCAGGAAGTTTGGAGAGTCACAAAAAGAGAGAAAAATTTTCCTAGTTTATCATTAACACATGTATTTTCTTTAAGCAATGGGTTATGTAATATTAAAACAGTGGCGGTTGGTAAAAAGCCCCACAAAAAAAAAAAAAAAAAAAAAAAAAAAAAAGGGAAAATTACTACAAATGGAACATAATGCTCACCTCAACAATTTATCAACATTGACCCATAGTGTGAGAAGATAATCATCGGAAGGTGGATTTATCATATGATCTCTACACATTTGCAAAGCTAAGGTCAGGGAAGAACTCATCAGCTCTGATCCTCGACAATCGGAAGCAAGAGCTAACAGAGCGGCTAATTGAACTTTATTTTTGCTTTTCAATAATAGCTGAGCTATCGATGAGCACATTGTATTATAGTTTTGGCGACCTAGAGAGGGAAAAAACAGAAAAATTTTAGAACAAAACTTTAAGAGCAACAATTTTACACTTAATTCCTCACTAAGATTTTTTCCCCCTACATCCCTTTTTTTCTTGGTCAAAAACAGAAGGGTTGGTTTTTTATTGTTAAAAAAAACGAAAACAGGACATGCATTTCGGTGACTTGCGATTTTATAGGCAATTGAAAGACTTAGTTTGCTTGTTTATATTTTCCAAAAACTATACATTATTTGCAGAAATAAAAAAAAATTTATATTAGAATCTCCCTTTTCTACAAAGATTGTGCTTATTTTTGGAGACCTTTTCAAAAACGAATCTAGGTGATCAGTCAAGGACAGTGGATGTTAAGCTGAAGGATGATACCTCTTAAAATTTTTCTCTTGCTATACTAGTATTTAACTGCAATAATATTACCTACCTACATTCAGGAAAAATCATTTCAAATTAGACTGGAGATCTTAAAACTGAGGAAAGAAAGAAAATAGAAGAAGGAATGAGAGGCAGAAAACTTGGAAAATAATTCAGAAAAAACTTACCTAGTAAAATGACTAACCGAACTGCTATTCGAGAACTTAAAATATCACAGCTCAGAAGAAGAGAATGAAGACCCGCAACATTCTGTTGTAAATTGTTGAGGAACGGGAGGACAGACGAGGCAGTTCTTTGTGTTCGATCCATTTCACTTAGTAACAGTTCTGCAAAGATGAAAAACAAAATCAAACCATCAGGTATAATGCGCTATAATATTGCGGGTGAGGAAAAGTAGCGGCAAAATTAGAGATTAAGCTGCCGGCTGTCCTTTTTGATTTTTTGGTAAGAATTACATTAAAGAGACATTTAAGTTGAACTTGTGTACCGACCACATTTTGCAGTAAGGAACTATTATTACGAGCTCATCCATAAAAGCATTCTATCTGCATGGGAAAACGACGGTGCATATCTTGTTTCAAATGGATGGCTTTAACCAGCAGCCTGATTGTTGAAATTGTTTGTTTATTGGATAGATGACATAGGTTAAAAGGCGAAGCGTGATTGGTCGGCTATGTCTTATCGCTGCTTTGTCGTGCCTATGTAGGGTTGACCTCTCGACAAGCTAACGGTACCTCTTAAGTTTCCGACAGTATGTCGATCATTCCACCTGACAAAGGCACGATAAAGCAGCGATAAGACATAGCTGAACAATCACGCTTCGCTTTTTAACCGATGTCATCTATGTCGTCCCGACAAACAAAAAATTTCAACAATCAGGCTGCAGAACTAGTATTTCATGTTTTCCAGTTTCTTCCTATGTTTAATATATGGACTTTATTTTGCAATTAGGAGGTACAATTTCTGGCTCAGTTTTGAAACAACGTATGTATCATTTGTTTCCCTACGCACATAAGTAGTTTTATGGATGAGCCAGAAATTGTAGTTGCTAATTGCATAAAGTAGCCCAATTTAAAACTAAGTGACATAATACCCTGTGACTTTCTGTGAATTTCTCCTTGATTATTAAGAATGTACGCACAAAAGTCAACAGCAAAATGTTACTTACTTTCCTGTTAAAACAAAAAAAAAAAAAAAAAAAAAAAAAAAAACAAACAAAAAACAAAAAAAAGGGAAAAAAAGATGAGGAAAGAAACATGAGAGGAAATTAGGCGACAATAATTGAAGGTACATGGGCTGCTTTTAGTTAAAGGTTTCTGTACACGAAAACTTTTTACAATCTCACACAAAAATCTTGCTGGTTTAACTTTGAAATAATGTACACTGTTAGAAAGGGAAATTTCGAAAACACCGTCAAGAAATGAGGTTTTAGCTTCTCAACAGAATACTTTAATCTAATGAATGTATGAGGACATCTTTGAAACTCAAAAAAGTAAGACAAAAACATTAAACTAGTGGAAGTCAGAAGAAAAAATACCTAGAATTTCTCTTGATATATCCGACATTGAAGAAACTTTGCCTTCTGACTGAGAACACTTTAACAACAGAGAGAGGATGTGAATGGCTCCAGATTCGCAGCGCAGGATTAAATGAACAACAAGATCAAAGAGAGCTTGTCGGCTGTCAAAATAACTACACCAATCAGCAGCATAGTTGCTCATTTTGCTCAATTTGCACGGTGTCACTAAAAATAAAATTAATAGGTTTTAAGAAATTATCATTTTCATTAATACTAAGCATACACATTAAAATTTAAACTTGGATTACGTTTTGTAAAAAGCAATCAATAGCATTCAAATGTTGCTAGGATTGTGCAACTTACATTATTTGCAAAAAAGCACTGAATTCATGAAAAAAATTATAATTACAAAGGTACTTTTCATCTTGAATTCATATTTTATTGGGAATAAAGATGAAACTTGTTTAGATGACACTCTGTAGAAAGCTCTTTAATCTAGGAGGAATTTTTAAACTCTGCTTTACAATTTCAAACTAAAACTTCTAACTTTATTTTCGTAATGAAGTTGGTACAGAGGACTTACATGAATGCAGAACGTCAGATGATAAAGCACGAAGAAGAACTGGTGACATAGATGCTAATTGAAGAAGAAATGGTGTTGTTGCCAGTTTTTGAACTAACACTAATTTATCATCTTCCACTTCTGACGTCATCATACTCCACTTGAAAGGAAGAAGAAAAAATGAAACGCACAATTAATAGTCTGGATAGATACGGACATTAATATTTAAAGGGGCTGTTTGGTCATTTTACAATGATTTATGAGCAAAAACCATGAGTTGTAGGCCAAGACGGATAGGTGACACTGGAAGTCGTATAAATTAAGTGTGATCCACAAATCACAACACAGTTAAACAGAGCAGTCTATTCAGAGGTCACATTTCCACTCTATCAACTCAAAGAGATAGACAGTGTTGCAGTAGCATAGTCATCCATTGCCGCAACAACACATTTTTAAATATCCTTAAAAACCAGTCACTACCGGATCAAAGTTCCTCCATGTTAGCAGCAAACTGCCTTGATCACTAAACCACCGAAGATTCAAGATTTGATGGTGATGCCAAAACAACTCCAGGGAGCAGACAACAGTCTTTCGAGCTTGTTACATCACACGAGAAATTTCATGGAGAACATGTTAGATTTCCTCCAATTAAAATAATTTGATAATTTTCAATCATGTTGATTACACAATAAGGACCAAGGAAAAAATATACCAACAAGTAGGCGAAAAGATTTACCTCGAAAAGCTGTAACAGTGCTTTCTTGATGTCCGAAAAATGACTTAGAGCCAGATGATCCAGAATACTGACAACTGAGACTATTTTTGGAGCCTGGAAATTGAATTTTTTTTACATGAAAAAATAGAGACAGCAGGAAGAAACGATCAATAAACTACGTTGATATTTTTTGAGGATGACTTAAACTACTTAGAGTAAATAAAAAGATATCTACTATTATTCATATTCATCATATTTTAAGTGACATCTCATTTTGACATTGGACAATTTTAACTCAAAAAGTGTGAGAAGTGAAGGTATAGTACTATCTGAGAGATATGTACTATGTCTTCATGAAGGAGCAATCTGAGTAAGTTAAAATTGCACTAATTTAGGAGAAAAAAAGGAGTCACTCACATTTTTTTCCTGTTTCATTCATTTGACAATAAGCTTTAATTTCAGCATGGACTTATTACCTTGCTTTACTCTTTGCTAGACTGTTGTACGACATGCAGTCAACATTTGTAAAATTAAATCTTCTTCTGACAGAAAATGAAAGCTATGCGACTGGAAATATGATAAAAAAGTTCTAGTGTAATTTACTATATATTACTCCGAATGGAGAGTTATCAGCTACATTATTTTATAGTACAACTAATGAACTCACTTTGGTGCCGAGTTGGTTTTCACAAAAATCTTTTAGACCACATGATAAGACCCTGGTTATTACAGTTTGTGGGAAGCAACTTCCAACATGAGCTACTACCCAGTCAAAGGCTGGACTGTGCAGAACACTAAAATCTGCAAATGAAAAAAACGAAGAGTGATGAGTGAGTTCATACTTAACTTAAGCAAACTATAAGAAAGTTAACTAAATTCTAAACAAATTGATCCCAGAAATTGATAATACTCAAAGAGGCAAAGAAATAATATTTCAGTTCATTGTTATGACATATTATGACCAGAGGTATTTTTGAAGAGAAAACATCTTTTAAATATTGTTCACCATGGATCATCTCATTGTAAGCCTCCATGGCTCCATCATTTGTGGCTCAACTATTTCCGTATTAAAATGGAATACCACAACTCAAAGTAAATATAGGAATAATAAAGAAATAGAGTGATATAGAATAAGAGAAAATTACCTAGTAATGCACTAATACAAGAATCAGTGTTTGAGTCCATAAGACATGAGAGACATTGTGTGTTTATATCAATTAAAGTGCGGGTAGCACGGCATGCCATCCAAAACTGCATACTCTGACTTAAATTACTGGCCATGGATGCACTTGCTTTGTTTGCATAGCGGCTTGATAAAGTACCTACAGCGGAGAAAACAGCAGATTATAATTTTGAAAAGATACAAGATTTTTGGTAACGAATAAGTTTTACTTACTCTAATTTTGTGCACATTAGTTGTGAATGCATTTATAGAATGCTTGATGCTTAACATTCAATGATAGAAAAGTCAAAAGTTTTGTGATACTTGCAGCACATATCCAGGAATGCAAACAATGTTTAAGCGAGCAGTCCTGCTAAGCAAATACAAGAGCTTTTGAGGGAATTTGTCCATGGAAAGGGGAGTCTTTGCCTTTTAGAAAAAAAATAGGAAAAAAAGTAATAGTTCTGATTTTTTAAATTTTTTGCTCAACATGTTCGTTTGACCTTCCACAATTTCAAGGTTGGGATTGCGACTGATTTCTGCTCTGAAGAACTTTCTGCACCCCCGCGCAAGTCAATTAAATGAAGGATATTTTGAATTTTCGGAAAATTCTACGCCTGAGTATGTCCGTAAAATAAGATAAGCGTCAGGTAGTGATGCAGAAAGAAACCATTTGGCTTAGGTATGAAAACCTCAAAAATCTTGTGTATTGATAGTCTTACTGAGGTAAGATTATGCTATTTCAAGGTAGGAAACACTAAAGATGAACCGAAGTTCCTTAGAAGATATCGTGATCATTGAAGGATATGGGATTTTTTTATTTGAGGATTTGCATGGAAAATTGTGAAATATAATTTAGTAAGGAATATAATGTACTATGCAAAATAGAGTTACAGTGAAATAATATTAAAAATGTTTACAATTACTCTGTAACTTATAGCTCATTACTTGGAGTAACTATTCTGGCAGTCAATTCAATGAATCTAGGTAGAGAAACAAGTGGAAAGTACCATAAAGTAAATAACGACAAAAAATGAAAGTTGATACTTGCCTAAAAGCTCCAAAGACCATCTCGAAATTATAGGCGCCCAGGCATTTGCATTAGAGTGAATGAAATTGGTGAGCGTAGTATGAATTTCTGCTATAGTCACTTCTTCTTCGCTTGGCTCTTGGGATTTTGTGGGAGATTCCTGAAAAAAAGGAGGAAACCGTGAATGAGTTTGACATGTTCATTCCCGGATTCATGTTGTAATTTTCTGTGAAACTAAGCAGTGCTGTAAACAACCTTCAGTTAATTTCATTTCTAAAAGCTCCTCAATGTCATTTTGTTCAGAGCAATATTCTGTATTCTGAATGGGAGGCAAACTAAAACATGATGAAAGACTAGCAAACAGAGCAGAGAGGGAGCTATGCCTGTACGATTAATTTATAAAAACTACTAGAAATGATGGAAAAACTTTTAAATTTAGAATTTTAACCCACCACTTGAGCTTTGCTCTTGGTGGAGACGGAGCTGTAATTGATGTATTGTAAATGTGTCATTGAAACATATAAATTGAATTGAACAGAATTTTATCTGTGAGTGTAACCACAATTGCTGCATATTATGATGAGAATACTTACGGGAGATAGACATTGTGAGATGTGATTAGCAACAGCCGAGTCAAACAGAAAACATAGGTACTCTAGGACAGCACCTCTTGCAGCTGGGAGTGAGTTCAAAAGAGACAACGCTAAACGAGCGAGTTCTTGATTGCTAGACTTGTTCGGTTGGGAGGCTCCAGCGATGAATTGTCGAAGCTGTGCCAATAAACCTGGAGGATGGGACTTTATGACACTTGTGCAAGCCATTTAGAAGATATGGCAACAATTCTTTGAACTCAGATTAATAAACACCATACATACCACACCCTCCGACAGGGTTTCCTCAATATGGAAGAACTTACGATTCTTAAACTTCCACAGGAAGAATCGTTGACCGACTAGGTGGGGGGAAAACGGTGATATTAAGACTAAAAACTCACTATAATTTCCGAAAAATTAACATTATCCTACCTACTGTACCTACATTTTAATTAAATGTTTAATTTAATGTTAATTCCCATTATCACAATCATTCTGCCATTGTTTTGCCTTAAATTTTGAGGTTAGACTGTAAACATACACCGGAGAATATCATCAACCAACAAAATTCAGCATCGGTGGCAACACTTGCTTTGTTTACCATTTTCGTGCCGGGCCGGAAGAAAAAAACGAAAAGAAGCGTTCTGATGCTGAACTGCTGAAGCTTTATTAAGTAATTTTTAGTTAAAGTTCTCTTCACAAAGTGATCATTAGTTTCTCGTCACCTTCGCTCTGATTTTTTTCTCTGTAAGTATTTCTATTTTGACATACAAGTCATATTTTATTTGCATAGCCACAAGCCTACCTCCCCATGTGACAGTTCTCCTCCGCAAGGTTTGTCGAAAGCTGCACTTAAGAGATAGGATGAATTTTGATTAGTTTGCTGAGCGATAAGAAAATTATTCAGCCATCCATCAAAGCCACACTCCATCACTGACTGGAGTAGTATCTACAGAGACAGCATCCTGATTAATCGTTATCAGCGTAATATCGGAGATTCCGTTCATTCTTCTTTTACACGAGTAGTAACTAAGGATTTAACAAAAAAACGTATCTTTTTCGGTAGCTGAGCTAAGAGACAGTCCGTGACACTTGTTTTTTGATTTGCTGTCTACATTTTTCTTATCAGTCCATGGGCGCTCACTTTTCATCACTGTCGGCTATCGGTAAATTTTACAACAGGCAGAAGTCATATATTGTTAGGTGCAACAACCGTAATTGTACTACGAAATTGCAAAACATTCTATGTTTGAACATGAACATTCTACTATTTTGTTTGATTGTTACCAATTGGAGGGTTTTCGAAGATTTGAAAAATTTGTCTAAGACAGGGAATTTTGCATGTAGCGCATTGACTTTACAGCTTCAAAGTGTCCCATTTGAAGGAGAACAAACAACTTCAGACTGCCATTTCCTCTAATTTGATACTCCAGAGGTGGAAATTGTGTGGAAAATTTAGTGAATGCTACCATGAATAGGTAAGAGATAAAAGTTAAGGTGGAAGTTTTGTTGGAAGGTCAAGGAATTCAAAATTTTGTAGTCAAGGAAAGCGAAAATAGCCAGGAAATTGACAAAATGAAGAAATATTAGCAACCTTACTGGCTGTCACCTGGGAGCATTTACAAACATCGAGAACGCTGTTGTATCATTTTGGTGCTCAACAAGCGGAATGAGCTAAATGCAGGTTTCAGATATTACTACCATCACTAATGGTCATGGGATTTTTAACCTCAGCCTCAATTTTCTTGACTGCTCCCTTCATTGGTTGCCCATGAATTGTGAGAAAGGAACACGAGTAAAAATTTTTCAGAACCATGGTCCTGTTGTTACATCAAATAAAAGGCGAATTTTCGTGGGTGGACTTTTTCAACCAGATTGGCAGGGCTGCATACCATGGAAGAAAAACGGTGTACTGAAGTCGAGAACTAGATTCAGTCGCTCAAATTGGCTAAAGTTTGCATTCATCCACTTCTCAACTTCTCTCGGGAGGTGAGATGAGAATCTTGGATGTGGTCGTCATTGCTGGCAGTATGAAAATCAAATGTTGTAGATGCACCATCGTCAGGAAGGAATTTCGTTTTGTCATAATGGCGGTTGGCAGTAAGTTAAAAATTTTTAGCAGATCCATTCGCGAGAATTCACCCAAAGTGTCCAGATGCCAGAGTGAGAAAAAATTTATTTTTAAGTAAATTGCGCCTTAAAAGTCATTTTTGTTATCTCATTTTAACTCTTGCTCTCTTTTTCAGGTCAAACAAAGAAATCACAAAACTTCACAATGGCGACTGCTATGCCTATCAATCCCAAACCTTACCTAAACAACTTGACTGGAAAGCCTGTCCTTGTCAAGCTGAAATGGGGTCATGAATACAAGGGATACCTAGTTTCCGTAGATGGATACATGAATCTTCAGCTAGCAAACGCAGAGGAATTCTGCGGTGGAGGTGCTTCTGGTGGTCCTTTGGGTGAAGTATTGATCAGGTGTAACAATATTTTGTATATCAGAGGCGTGGAAGAAGAAGATGAAGAAGGTGAAATGAGAGATTAAGTCATTTCCCCTCTCTGTTATCTTTCCTTTGTAAATAATTGTGTATTTTAGCCCCTCAGTGACCTAATGATCTCTGAAGTGTATCTGTTATTTTTATATGTCTCTTGTCTTGTAATTCTCACTTTACTTTAAGGATTAAAGTTTGAAGGATGATTTGCAGTTTTTGGCTTCATTCAATCCCTCATCACCTGAACTTTTTAGGTGAAATCATTCAAGCCATGAAATGGCAATACATATTGTTTGGAGAATATGAGTATTAGACGTGCAGAAGTACCCAAAGCACTAGGGTTTTCTTAACATCTGTCTATAAGTAACCTTGATTTTCTATATATGAAGTTTTATCTAATTTTTTTAGTCTTCGACTCTGCCCTAGGGGCTGTTCATAAATACATTAATGCCGTAGGAAGGTGGGTCAAGCAGAGCGTAATGCCTTCTTGTGTTCATGTGTCATAAAATAGAGGCCACAAAAGAGTCAAAAGATCCCAAATTTAACATCAATTTTTTTATGAACAGCCTCTTACACTGTGTACTTGATTCTGAGCTTTATCTGCTCTACCTGATCCGAAGCGGCTAGTTTTGGACCGTTCGGAGTGTTCATGGAGCCAGGTGACCTCTTTTTCTCACTAAAGTAACATTAAAATTAACCAATATACTTTAATATGGATTGCATTTTGCGAAAAGGAACCAAGAGCATTCCAATGTTGGTAGGATTGTGCAACTTACATTCTTTGCAACACAATTCCTGGAATCATGCAAAAAATTAAATTTACAAAGGTAATTTACGTCATGAATTTATAGTTTATTGAGAGTGAAGATGAATCTTCTCTATATGATCAGTTTATATTTGCAAGGTAAACAAAATTGTACAATCTTAGCGACATTGGAATGCTCTTTGTTCCTTTTTGCAAAATGCAATCCTTATGATCTTTAGGGAATAGGATGTCTCAAAAAAAAAATTAAATATAACTGTTTAGAATTTAAAATGTTTCATTTACTGCAATGAATAATGAACAAGTACAAAGCTTAAAAAATCGCTTGAAAAAGAATGAAAAAAGAAATTGAACTGACAAATTTTTAAAAAATTATGATTATCAAAAGAAACTAATTAAAAAAGAATTTTTTTGGCAAGCATCTGAAATTCAGAAGGAGCTTCCAAAAACTTGCTGTTCACATAAGGTATAAATTAACAAAAAAAAGTAAATATTTGTCAAACAGAACTTGAATTAAAGACATTTTCAAAAATATAAAAAAACGAGGGGAAAAATTTAACACAAACAAATAAGAAGCTGACTACAGACAAAAGCACGAAGTTCCACACATGCAACACTGACTGACTTGTTTAATTGAGATGGGAATGATGAAAATTTGAGGCTATTTCAATTTTCTTAATACTGTGTAGCTTCTTGTCATGAAATGGAAGCCTATTCAAAGTTAAAGAAGACTCGTTCAGAAATAGTTCCCATTTTTTCTGAAACTGAGAGGGGCAATACCAAAGAAGGATTCAGTCGCTCCGTCGTTCAATATGTTACAATTAAATTGTGTTACCCCTAGAAAGCACAGGAAAACTATCAATGTCAGAACAGTTCATTTTCTCTGGGGGAACTATTGAATGATGTAGTCACTAAATCAGTCTTTTTTGTTCAGCAAATTACATTATCTCACATAAGGATTTCAGCTAATTGTAAGTTCTGAAGTCATTTTCATCATACCTCTTCTACTACAAGCCTACTGTCAGCAATGAGGGAGTAAATGTTGTAAAATACACTTTGGAGCGAAGCTAAGGGTCAATTTTCATGCCTTGTCAATGGTACTTACTGAAAGCGAGATTCTCACTACAACATTGCTCTTACTCTCTTTCAAAGAGACAAGAAGGAAACTACAATGCGCCATGATCCATGGAGATACAATTCTCAATATTTTTCTGCTGTTCCATGAACTGCAGAAATCATCACATCAATGTATTTTCAAGACATACTTTCTAATGATGACCAACGAATTCTGGTCATTGCAAATGATGGAAACCATTGAAAAAACACCTGACAGCCTATCCTGCTTGCATCAGCACATGGAGAGGTATACTGGTGAAAGGTATAGAATGGTATCGAGATCAATTGACAAAGTACCAATGAAATGTTAGGATATTCTAGTGAAGTTGCTTCTACATATATAGTTATCAGTAGAAAGCATATTTATTGTTAAATTGCTAATCAAGAATTGTGTTTGAGAAAATGGAAGGTACCAATACTTTTAATGAAAATCAATCAATGATCACTATCGGGATGAGTATGAAATCTTGAAAATTATTTTACTACTTTAATCTAAGGATTATCCCTTTTCTGATCTATTTCATTTTCATTTGCTATCATTTTAAACCAATGACGCCAATGAGTCAATAATGCAAAATTTTATACATTGCATTTGAAACTTAGAACAGAGCCGATTGCACAGTAATTTTTTTTATCACAATTTCAGGAGGAAATTGTGGAATCTGAAAAGTAAGAATAACAGAATAGTTTAGGATACAGTTTTAACTACGCTCGCATAACATTCAAGAAAAAATTTTAAAATATTTTGGTTCCTTCTAGTCATTTCTTATCAGAGATAGGAGCGTAGTGCAACTCATTTTTGCAATCCGAGATAAAGCAAGGGTCATTTCTCTGTTTAAGTAATTACATACTAAAATACATGCTTACTGTTTTTCTAACCTTAAAGCAGAGGAAATAGCGAGTAATGATTCAATCATTCTTCAACCTTGATAGACTCATTCCGATAATACATAAGTGAGAAATCAAAAAGAAAATCGCCAGGGACTGGAACAGTTACAATACAGCTGCAATTCTTACTATAATAAATGATAAGAAAAAAAAAAAAAAGGTGCTCTTGCAAAATCAGACTAAAAAATGGGAAGGTAAATTAAAGTATAAATGATATTATAAAATATTAAAGAATTAAAATACATGGAGGAAAGAAATAAAAAAAAATTAATATGCAATAATGTAAGTTTCTGAGAAGTTCTTCCTCTAAGACATCTTCATTAAAATTCAAAAGGAAGTCAAAAGTATTAAAACCTGAGCCTTTAAGTTCATTTTTATGGCAGCATTTAGGTGAAAAATTCAAATGAAATTTGTGTCAAAAGCACAAAAAACGTAAATTAAAACTAATAGTGGCAACTTTTCAATTAGTGGTAGATGTTAGCAGAACGTTACTGATCGTCTTCAACATGAATCAATTCTCCAAAATACGCTGAAATGGCAATTAACTTCTTTTGAAGAAAATTTTGTTCTACCTCAATTTCAAATGCATCACCAGACAAGGGTATCAACTGAAAAACAAAAATCAGAAGAAAAAAAATTAAAATCAGGAATTTCGGCTCTCCCAGGTGCATGAAATAGATTGTTCAACCCTAGTCCTACCCACTTTACTTTTGTGCAAGGTCTATGAAGCCTGCCGACTTGACCCATTGTGTGATTGAGTGCTTCAAAATGTCACTCCTCTGATGTAAGGGCGTACTTCTATTTCCACATGAGCCCTGCAGGGCATAGGTTCATGTGGGAAACAGGGCTTACATGGAAATTGAGATACGTCCTTACGTCAGAGTAGCAAAAATAAGTGAGCTGGTGTACTCTTTACTTTTTGCAAAGATTCTGTCTAAATCTTTCAGTTGTTGAAAGAGAGGTTTCAAAGGAAGAAAAAAAATTGAGCCTTTAATTGGCACGATAGCACCCATCTAACCCTACTTTACCTACTAATTAAAGCCAAATAAATGTTCATAATTCAGGAGACAAGGTAAATATATAGTATCTGTATTTGATGATACTCAATCGGACCCCCAGTATAGGGCGAATAAATCAGCCAACGCTTAAAATTTTAGAGAGGTACTATGTAATACACTTTTTTTCTACAGCTTTCCATTTGGTAAGTACGAATAGGTTTTACCTGATCAACGTTGCAGTTTCTGGGCAGAAAATAACAAATATTATTGGTAATCTTTCTGGCTACTTCCAGCAGCCCTTTACCTCCTGTTGGAGGCAAAATTTTGTCGAGGTCAAAAGAGCTGCCTCGCAAGTAGCTCGGTCCTCCCCATGGAGGTGACATAAACACAACATCAGCCTTCAAGTTTGGTGCTAGCTGAAGGAAATCTCCTACAATGAACTCAATCCTGTCTTCAACACCATAGATTCTAGCGTTATTTCGAGCCATTTCAATTTTGACCGGGTCAATGTCGATTGCAATAACTGAAAAACAACAAAAGAAAATCATGGATGAGTAACAAACTAATTACTGAAGAATATTTTCCTCACAATGATTATAAATGAGACCACCTCTTATTGGACATCACTTGAGAAACAGGCATTACTGACATGCATAATTTTTTAAGAATCACAGATTCTACCGAAAACCTTTGCATTTTTTCTCTTTATCTCTGAAGTCGGTGTTCATGCATCTAATTCGTTTCGTGACATCCGATTAAAAAAGTAATGGCTCAATGATGGGGTCCACTTCCATTCTTTAAAACTTAATTACTTCATACGCCATGCTTAGCTTCATACTCAACAAAGTCATTATTATTACCAAAAATAAAGAAATAATCACATGGAGAGCGCAATGAGCTTTCAATTATTCTAACTTTGGACTATTAAAACCTGTCTGGAGATTTAGACTTGTTGCCGTGCATATTTTTTTCTTACTTTTCATACCTACTCAGCAACTTATTTTTACAGAAAATCACCTTGACAATAGTTTTATTTTTAAGTGCAAAATTTCCAGGGATATATTAAGGTCCTCAAGGATCTCAAAAGATCCCTACAGCTCAAAATCTTAAGTGACAAAAAAGGGAAAATGTTGGATAACACTGCTATAGAAGAATGGGACTCTCCAGTGAACAATAAGTTACAAACAGAATATCGACGGTGAAACTACCCAACCACGTATCTCGGTTTGCGGCGTCGCAAACTTCCTGTCATACTTTATTTTTTAAAGAGGAAACTTCTCAATGTTGATTCTTGAAAACTTCTGTAATTTTTCCTCTCAGTGCGAAGAAAATTCTGTGAAAATTTCAAGTAATAATATTGAATTGTTCTTCTTAAAAAAAATAAAATGTGAGTGGAGCTTTTAAACACCGCAAACGAGATACGTGGTCTGGTAGTTTCACCATCGATATGTAAAAAGCGTAAAAAAATAAAAAAAAAATTAACAAGATAAAATTTGAGGTAGCCGTATGGTGTAGGAAACAAACCAAATTTTGAAGCCAAATTCCTAAAAAAAATTAGTAATAATACCAGCAGCTGAAAACCCTCGGCATGGCAGGATCTGTCAGTCATGCCATTGGCTTAGGATTACTGAAAGGATAAACAAATCAACCCCTGTGGTTGAAGCAGGGATGAACCTCAATTATTAAGTATGTGACTTACCTCGTTCACACGTGAGGGCAAATTGAATGGTGTTGCCGCCAGCACCGCAAAAAGCATCAATGAGAACATCACACCTACATCTTTGTGAAATATGTTTACTCATACATTCAGGAGTCACGGAATACCAGCTCTCTATTAAGGGATAAAAACAAATTCAACAAATTCACTTTCTGTGCTACATTATTCAATGCTCTTAAAAAGGAGAGATAAAAAGAGTCCAATCATATCCTTTGCAGCTCTAAATTGGTTTAATATTTGCTAGTTTGACAAAGTTTATGAATAGCGCATTTCTCTGACATTTGGGAATATGCCAGATGAATAAAAATTTGAAATAGTTTTTGTGCATCATTTCCTGTTCAAAACATTAAAATACGTTCTAAAGAGCAAATAAAGGTGACCTGACAATAATTTTTCCCACACTTTTGTCATTTTCATTAAAGTTTTGTGGTTATTCCTGACTGTAGCAACCCTGAAAGGTAAAAGTTATCATCACCCTGTAGAACAGGAGGAAAGGTCCCCTACAGCGGACATAGTAAAAAATGTATTTTGCACATCAGAAAAAATTTGTGAGGACCTTTTTTAGAGCTTTGGTTTTTTAAAATTACTTTTTTCGGCTGCTTTTACTGCTTTGAGACTTCTTTATGCTATGACTGGTATGTTTTATAGATTGTTGTTTTTAGCGACAAAAAACAAAAATTTCAAATCCCTGGAGAAAACAGGTAAAAGCAAGAAAAATAGTGCATTTTGATGGTACAAATAAACAAAGATTTATCTTGGGTAGCATTATTGAATATTTTGCTGTTGTACTTTACTTTTATTGGGAATGACTAATCATGATAACTGTACATAATTCAATCTGATTTTTTTTTTCCCCCATTTTTTCGATGTATTTGCAAAAAATTCGTAAAAAATTGTCTGATGGAGCTCTCTTGAAAAATAAAGTTGGAAAAGGAATTCTGAAATTCTGTGATCGAGTTACATATTTTTTTTTCTTTTCTTTCTTACTTTCATCAGAAATTTTAGACACACCTACACTTACAAGGGCCAAAGTAGATTACTTTAATTTGTTCAAGTGAAGTGTGAAAGAAACAAAGCTTTAGTTACCTTCATCCAGTTGGATACCCTCATCAAATTTAGAAAATAAGCGATAACGTCTCATCCAGTACTTGCGTAGCTTTGGATTTTTAGCTATCTCAGGCGGCAAATTTTGCGTTTTTTGAGCCTTGCTTTTCTTCCGTGAAGACTTTGCTTTCTTCAGTTTTTTACTGATAGGTTCAAACTTATCTTCTTCCTCACAAAGCTCTGAGGAGGAGCTGCAGGGTGTGGCTTCATTGGACGAGAGCTCTCCAATCTCAGACGCACTCTCTTTTGTCTTCTTGGACTGATTGTAAGTTTCATTGGGGTTTACAAATTCACCAATTATGTTGGTGCTTGGACTAGTTTCTACTGGAGTGACTAGACTATTTAAATTCTTTGAGACTGTCGTTTCATTTTGGTCCTTTAAACCAACTCCTTGAAAAAGCTTGTCTGTTTGGCTGGTTACTGATTCCTCCTTGGCTTTCTCTAGAAACTGTTTGACCTGTTGAATTCGAAATCATATACATTTTTTCAGACAAGGTTTCACTGAAAGAAAAAATACTGACTTCCATTATTACTACAATACAGCCGCTTTGATAGCACTCTTCGGCGTTTTGCGACGCCCAAACGCTATAATCCCTTATCTTCTTAAAGCCCTCTTGGGAGTTAGCACTGCCTCATTTCATGACAAACCTTCTACAGCCACCTTCCCACTGGGCGTCTGCACTATTCTCATCACTCTATCTGAAAATGTAGCTGTTTAAGTTGATCATGAATTAGTAAACTAAAAAAAAATTGCTTCCACAAGAAGGTTTTTGATGGAGGGAAGACAATTAAAATCGATTATGGGACTTCTGCAAGACCAATCCAAATAGGTCAGTCACTGCACATCTTTTTGAGATCCACCTCCCCATCTAAAATCCTATCTGGAGACTGCATGACATAGAATTGGCTGCTTCTGTAAGAAATACATTGCATTCAAACTTTCTGCCATCAATGTGCAGAGGGGTCTCAAACCTCGTTCACAGGATGACTGATGCCTGTGGATGCATCCTTCCCAAATCATCCATAATTTAATAATTCATCATTACGTTTAGGTCCTTGCTAATAATTTCGTTCCTATCCTCCCAATGATTGCTAACACTGATTCTGGATTACTCTAGAAATATTAGTCAGTGCTTAATGTTGAAATCTTATTGGCAAACAAGGATTGTAACCATTAGAAAGCTCACCTGTTCTAGTACAGGATTTCCATCATCATCAAAGTATGTATGCTTGCGAGAAAACATCCTGAGATCTTTATTCTGTTGCTTGATATTTGATTTTAAATAATTAACTTCCAATTCTTCCAAAGTCTTACTACTTGATGGTATGAATTCCAATCCCATTAACGTGAAAGCACTACTCAAACGGCTAAGAGTAGACTGCAACTTTTGATTCCTGAAAAAAATATTTTAATGATCCAGTTTTTGATAAAACATATTGGTTAAAACAATTCAATATGAATTATTGCTACATTCATTCATGATTTTATATTATCTTATTTTTTGTGTTGCTAATGTGTTTGAAACTAAAATGTCCACTTATAAGTCCAATGGAGCTCACATTAAAAAAATGGAAAATGCTAAAAGTTAAGTCTCAGCAACTACTACTCGCATGTACCAGGAGAGAGCGGCCAAAGACCCCAGCCCCCACCAGTTGCTAGCGAATTACAAGGGTAAAGATCAGAACCACTCACACCTGACACACACAACCATGGGTAGATAACATTGCTGTAAATACGACAAGATTAGTTAAGGTATCTGTTTAAAACAGACCGATCAATTATCAATATGAATCAGATGAGGAGATTTCTAGATCAGTATATACCCAAACAGGAGAAGTTATGCTTTGATGTTCGTAGACAAGTAATAATAATGATCATAATAAAAAAAAAATAAAAAAGAAAAAAGAAAAGGAAAAAAAATGGAAAATATCTGCCGATTGTACACATTGAAAAGATTGAGGACTTGAGCATTTTATTGACAGTCATATGCTTACCCAAATCATGTATCTGGCTTTCATGATTGGAATAATACAGGGATGAAACCTTTTAAATTAACAAATTAGAGATCTTATGATTACTATATACAGCACATGAACTTACCATTTCTTGATAACAGGATTCTGTTGAATTGGACTTGATTCGCAAGTTACTGAATTGACTATTGATGAGTTATTTTCCTTGTTATTCACAGAGTCTTTTTCACTATCTACAATGGCATTATAATGAGGTACGCCATTATTACTTGACGTTACGCCGTTAATACTTGACAGGTGAAGGTTTTCCGTTTGATGCTCAATGGCTACTTCTGCGTTAACTCGATCACTCAAAGAGGTGTCATCACATTGTAAAGGAATACTAGTTATTAGAGAACTTTCACTATCACATACACTATCCTCTGAATTCTTTTCAGAAGAGGCCAAATCTTTGGTCAAACTACAGGAGGTACCATTCTTTTCAGCTATAAGTTTCTTGATAGTACTACTGACTGAATTTTCGATCCTAAGGGGCAAAAAAATGTAAGCATTAAATTAACTATCATATAATGATGAAAAAAGGAGATAAAACTTGCAAATTGCAAATATAAATTGCAGTTCATAGCATTACGAAAAAGGAAGTTAAATTTTTCCACATTAAGTGAGGTTGAAAAAATCTATTGCTTTCTTAACACGTTAAGAACAAAATTGGTCTTGAGAAAATAAGCATGAAACAGGTGTGGTGTCAGTTATCAAAAACTGAAGCGTCTCTTTATCACATTTCTGTTCGTCTATGTCAGGACCTGACACTGTTTCCAACAAGTTAACCATGAGATTCTTCAGCTTTTATGCTGATGTTCTTAAGAAGTGATTATCTAGTGAAAGTTGGTTTTCGGGATTTACTTTTCATCAATTTCACTGAACTCCTGACACATAGAATAATAAAGAGACTTCGCTACTTGACCCGACTTCAAGGTTATTTACTAGTGCATCTCCCATTCCAGCAACGTGGCTTAAACATCTTTGTTTGATCCAAGTTTCTTAGAATAAGCTGGAGAAGAATAAAACAAAAAATAATGAGACAAAACTGAATCAGGTCCGTCTATGCAGGGATCTCCCAAAAACAAAGTTAGGCACTAATCAGCATTGCATATGATGCACAAATTTGACTGTGTATTGTGATGGGCACTGTTTGAATCATGATGCAAAATAGGTAGTCTAATTAATGTTGAAGAGAGTGCAACCTGGCGCCTTTGAGACCATGATAAATTCATACAATATTAAGACTGTGATTATTAAAAAAATTTACTTACACATACTCAAATTGCCTGCTATTCTTGGTCCTTTTTCTCTTTCCCTTGCTATTCTTTTTGGATGAGCTTGATTCTTGAGAATCCTCATTTACATCTATCATGCAATTGAGTCTTTCCTCTTCAATACAGCCGTTTGCAAGTTTACTTTTGACCAGAAAGTCAGAGGATGGTTTCTCCTTTCTGGAAATTTCTACCTGGTTAATTTTTGCAGAGAGGAAGTCTTCGTCAGGTTGGTTAGGAACAGAGGTGTTTACTCTTTCGACACTACTTTCAAAGTCAGGGTCTCCTAAAACATCATTAATGATATCAGCGACTGGTTCCCATGAAGGCAATGGGTCACTTTCTTTGTACTGCGAGATAAATGCATTATAATGAGAGTTGTACAGGTCATTGAAGTGTTCATTCCACAAGTGCTGCCACTGCTCAGTGTAAGAAGTCACAGACGAAGAGGGTGAGAGAGACGAATCGATTCTTGATAGGTCTTCAGAACTGGAATTTGAAGTCGACAATGTAATTCTGGTAACATTGGTCATAGAATCAGTGGTTGCAGTTAGTCGACCGCTATTCCCAGAACTCCGGCTTCCAGTTCTTAGTCTAAATTGCTCATCAAAGAAGTCGTCCTGTTCTTTTGAATGCTCTAAAGGTTCTGACAAAATTTGTCCATCAAAGTCTCCAACTGATAGAGTGGGAGGTTCTGCAAAAGTCAATTCTTTAGGTCTCTTTTCTTCCTCAGTTGATACGTCTTTCTTTGGAAGATTCAATTCTAACTTATTCACATCAGTGGATTCAACTGGTGATAGATTGTCAGCTTCCACTTCATCACTGTCAGAGGACACAGAATCAAAATTATCACTTCCTTCGTTTTTCACAGCATCCTTGTCAAGAGCTTGATGTGGATTCCCATGATTATTAAGGTAAGTTGGATCGATGTAATCATTGTACTTGGTTATCCAACTTTCCCAAACAATGCGGTCACCATTTTGTGCCCAATAGCGTTCCCACTCAAGATCTCGGCTTGTTACGGATATGTCTGCTCCGCTGTCACTTTCTAGTGCAAACTGGCTGGAGCTGTCTTGGTCATCGGTAGAATAGTGAGATACACTGTAGTAGCAGCTGAAAGCTTCGTCCTGAAATTATTATTTGAAGTATTATGAGAATGCCACCACAAATACAGATAAAGATGAAATGATAGGACAAAGTTCTAACAACATACTTAAAAGTAGTTTTTAGTTTACTTGAGGGGCAACAACTAGGAGGACAAATTTAATTAAAATTAATTCCATACTATTAGAATTTAGCACAGAAAGGAAATGAAAAAGGAAGTTGTTATTTTGCGTTATGACATCATTCTGGTCTACCTAAAACAAAAATCATAGAGATCATCCTGAGTTTGGAATGAGCCTTTTTGCAGCTGTGAATTAACTGTTTTGAGAGTGAACCTCGGGGAAAAAGTTTGATTTTACTTACTCGTTTCTTGTGGTGAATCTGGTTGGTATTTGGGCTCTGTTTAAGTCCACTTAGGTTTTGACCACCATTCAAGTCTTCCCATTCAGATTCTTCTTTGACTGGTACAGAGCGAGTCAGATTCTTTTCACTGAGGAAAAAAAATCAAAAGTAGAAAAATAATAACTTTATTTTAAAAGTACAATCTTTGCTTGAAATTGCAGCAGAATGAAGCAATAAAGTCGTCAGGTTGTCAAATTGAGCAGCCTTAATTCCATATCAGCACTGAAACCTCGAGAGCCGTGTGATTCAAGAAAAATGGAGATTTTGATGACTAAAAGGGTTCTTTTATTCAAACAGATCGAAGGTTTGACTGAGCGGATCAACAATTAAACAATTAACTACATGGGCAACTGGATTACAATGATAATTATTTAGCTGAATCATTGTAGAATTATTGTCGAGAGTTGTTATGTTTTTGCAGGGCAGTTCTTCCAAAATGTATTGTATACTTTCTCATTACATATATGGGGGCTTATTCGGATCAATGTATTGCTGGGTGGAATGGCTGTAAAAGAGGAGAACGGAGATTTGATAGCTAATGCTATTTGATTTAGATTCAGGAGGTAACATCAGTGCCCTGAACTAGAAAACACTTATTGAAAACATCGTCTCGTTTGATGTTGTTTTTCAGGAATAAATGAATTGATATTATTGAGTGTTCCAGAATATTATAGATATCAAAAATATCTATCTTTTGCCTACAAGATTTGAACCATCTATTTTCAATTTAATCTTCTTTTGGGGGGGAGGGGGATTAAAAATCCCATTCTGCATCTAGTTTCCAGCACAGATGTGTTGGAACCGATAAAGAATTGATTTAAAGTTAATGCTGACTAAAAAGCCCAATTTTTTTTTTCCTTCACAAGTTTTAAGTAGCCTCCATTGGCTAATCCCACGCTTACCACCAGCCCCAGGTGACCATTGTCTGAGACCATCAACCTCAGGTCACCTGGCCTTCATTCAATTCAGATGGTCAAACTTCTCTTTCAATTTCATTCCGCTTTTGTCAGATGAAAAGTTGGATTGTGCCATACTAACACGAGAACACAACAACCACGTGAAAAGATAATTAAACATGGTTTGGATGACAGCTGATTGTGACTGAAAATAATTTTAAAATATTTTTCTACTGATTCAGTTCAAATTTGTACTAACTACCTATTTGGACAAACAATGAGAGAAATTGAAGGAGAATTTCAATTTTAGTTAATGTTGTTAGTAGTATGGTAAATTTAGTAGGCTAGGAAGAGAGAAAATTACCTCACTAATACACGGCTGCAAAGACAATAGATGTAGTCTACGTCATTTTCATACTTCAATGATAGTTCAACTAAAGGCTCGTAGGAAATAACTGTAGAATCTTCACTCATTGCTCTAAAATAGGGGGAAAAAAACAAGTTAAAAAAGATAAATATGGATTGCCGTCACTACATTTTGACATCAACATTGTCGATAGTTTTCATTTTTTCGAGACTTCTGATAATCGTATCTGTAAAAGGGCCTTAAAGTACTTACTTCTTTCTTGTGAATTGTAAATCGCACTATTCACTATCACATACAAGACTCAAATTTTAATTTTCTGCTTAATGTGATGAACATACTTATATACTGTGACAATTTTAATCAAGGCATACTGCCCTATAAAAAAATTTGGCTACCTGTTATGTAATTGTTAATAAAAATGACAGTGCCTGATAGAAATAATTTCATCGCACACTTGTGAGGGGGAGGGGGAATAATTTGCTGGTAACAAATCATACTTGTGGTTAGGGGAAGTTGAGGTTCAAGAGAAATTTGGAAAATAGTAGGGCGATATTTTGTTGAGATAGAAAAAGTAGAGAATGCTATCAGAGAACCCGGTTTTCGTTATGATAGTTATATGATGCAATTGCACGTGATCTCATGACTTGAAAAGCTGAATCATCTTCTTCACCAAGATTGGTGCATACTTCAATTCTTTTTCTCAGACAATTGAAAAGCCAACCGTTCTTTGAGGACACTCAGTTTATATGAAAAAGTGTACTCAACCGCCGATGTGAGTATTCAGCATTAGGCTGTTGGCCAGTCATTATGTTTATTGGCATTGTAACAGCTATAGATGCCTCATGCGTTATTCAGATTTCGGAAGAAGTTACAGGCTACATACCTTACACCACCATTGAAGATTTAAAACCAGCGAAAGACTGGGTTGAGAGTTGACTAAAATACTATTGATTGGGTTCAAATCAAAGGCATGGGTTCAAACATCACACACAAGAAGCAGCCATGTTTCAAAGAAAAGTTCTTGACAGTAGAAATTTCCATACCGTGTTCATTTTAGAAAAACCTACTAGAAAATTGATGTAGTGCAAATTATGAGGAAAAATCACGATGTGAGACTAAAAAATCTAATGAATCCCTGAAATGAGCGAGAAAAACAATGAATGGCATGAACAGGTTAGGTTATGGTTGTGTTGTTGTTTTAGAAAGGGTCCGATCCTCCAATCAGAGCAGTTATAGGATTTTGGAACCAATAAGATCTTGAGGTCATCTTCCAATCTCAAAAGGCGTCGGGTCTGAGCCATGGCGGGAAATTCAACTTCAGTTCACTTCATTTTTTTAAAGAAACTCTTCTCCAAAGTAAAACGGCTTTTCCACCATAAAACTGCGAGGGCATCACTCAGCCAGCGGGGTAAATGAAAAGGTGTATAATCTTCGACTATCTCTACCTGATTAGGCCAACTAAGAAAGGGCCAAATTGCTTTAAATAATTGAGTTCCTCTACTTTTTTCTTTCTTATTCATTCAACGTGAGCCTACGCTTTGCATACCTTTTAGCGCATTACTTTGAACATTCTGCCATTCATAGTCAACAAAATTCTTTTCATGCACCAGTCTTTGGGCAGGATCCTTACGTTTTTAATTTTCATTTAAAAATAAATTAAGACAGGAAGTCTGAAATGTCACTAACCGAGATATGTGGTCTGGGAGTTCCACCGTCAATACGTGAAGTGACAGGAGTGTCCTACTCGGTCTTTATAGCAATATCAATTACCTAGGCTGAGACAGCAAGATTTTTCTTTTATACAAATTCAAATCTTTTTAAATGAAATTGTAAAATCTTTTTCTTGTTTCACATGAAATCTTTGAGAAAAAAAAATAAATGTGAATGTACCTACGTTGCTTAATAATGCAGGTAAATCTTTCGTGAAACTATGAAACAAGGTAGGTATCTTGGTTTACAATATGGCACATCTCCAGCCACACTTTGAATACTTACTTTTTTGTTGATGAAAGGTGGTATAATAGTTCGAGTGAATTTTCTTTGCCTTCCTAAAAATATTTTTTGGAAATTTTACGCAAAAATGTCTAATAATGTTCTTATAAATAAAATGTATGTGGATGTGTTCACAAAATAAATTTAATCATACTTGCTTTTTTAGATTCACCGTTGAGATACTTCTTATGTGGTGGACTTACAATTATTAAATGGTCTGGCGGGCAGGTGAGAAATTTATGATTCACATGCCTAAAAAATTGAATAATGCGGTCTCCCAGCAATTTCAAAACTATTTTTCTAACAAATGCTATTTACTACTTTTTCAACAGTAAGGATAAGTATGAATAGCCACTCTTAAGATTTGCTCGTTTTACCCACTCTACTTGAGAGAAAAAAGATATGGTAAATAAATACGTCCATAGTTATTTAAAAATATTATAATAAATTTTGTACAAATATACATCTAGTATTAAAACAGGTTTATTCAGCCATCATAGCTGCAACAGACTTTTTTCGCTCAATTTTCTTTTGGACTTTCCTCTTGATTTTCTCCTCTTTTTCGATCAATTCTCGTTTACGAGCGAAATTTCGAACTTTGCTGGCACGCTCTTGTCGCCTCTTCATCATTAGGTTGTACAAGTACTGTTTCTTTCTTGGAATCATTTTCTCAATCAAAGACTGTTCTTCTTTGTTGGATCTAAATTTATCGTAAGGGTTAAAACGAGGCACTTTACCGGCAGCAACAGCCATTTCTGCTTTCTGTAATCAGAACCAAGGTAATTTAACCACAAGAGTCATGAGATAATGAGTACTTAGATTAATTTGTACTAGAAAAATTATGAAATAGTTATGTTCTTTTGACGTTTCATTCTCAGAGGCACAACTTTAAAAAGAAAATATTGACCGAGTAATAAAATGGAACACTTTTCTGTTCCGTCCCTTTTTACTGCTCACAGGTGATGGCTTCTTTTCTTTTCTTTGAAATACTTCCAAAAAGATTTAATTAAAAATAAGTTTGTATTAATAATTATCTCTAAACTATTTCTAGTAGAGTTGGGCCGAAATGGAATTTTCGCGTCACCGGAACCGGATATCGGTTTTTTGTATCCGGCAGGATCCGGATACCGGATAATTCAAAAAAGTATCCGGCCGGATCCGGATAGTGCTTTTTCGCGCGAAAAATGTCGCGATTTTTGAGGTTAAGTTTACTCGACTCACGATCGGTCGTAGCTAACAAAATTTGGGCCGAAAATTCACACCGGTTATTTGTTGATGGATTTACGCGAAAATCGGCATGTAGAGGTATTTTGACACGAGAAAAACGAATTTGACGTTAGATTTTCAAAAAAACCACAATTTCCAAAATGGCCGCCGGTTAAAGTTCAAAATGACCAAAAATTGATTTTTTTATAAATCCAAGTTCAAATTTGTTTATCTTATGCCAATATACTCTCAAATTCCAAGTTTTAGGCAAATCCATCAGGAAAAAACCAAGGTGAAAATTTTCGGCCATTTTAAACTTTAACCGGCGGCCATTTTGGAAATTTTGGTTTTTTTTAAAATCTAACGTCAAATTCGTTTTTCTCGTGTCAAAATACCCCTGCATACCGATTTTCGCGCAAATCCATCAACAAATAACCGGTGTGGATTTTCGGCCATTTTGAACTTTAACCGGCCGCCATTTTGAAACAGTTTGAGATATTGACTTCGGGTTTGCGCGAAAAGTTTTCTTTTTTTATGCTCTTTCGAACGAGCTATCACAAAGGGGGTCTTCCCATTTGAAAATTCAAAGTTGGGGGCCGTTGCCCCCCCCCCCCAAGGGGGGCCCCCTGAAAATTTTAGGGGGGCCAAAAAGTAGCTCCCTTTGACCTAGGAATATCCCCCAAATTTCAAATCTTTACCTCAATTAGGTAAAAAGTTAGAGGGGGTGGAAGGGACTTTTGGATCACCCTGTATAAATCTGATCCTATTCATCGTAAGTGACCGCCCAAGGGAACTTCTCGGGTGTATCCTAAAAATTAATCCCAAAAGATTCAGTTTATTTTTGTGCTAATAGAGCAGGCAAAGTTGCATTATAATTCGGTAATTTTTTTCCGTAAACATGATGTATTGGAATTTAATTTCTTCATTTTAATTCAGATAGATTGCTTAATTTGCCACTTTAAAATAGTAAAAATAATAAAAGGGAAACTGTAATATGTAATAAAAATAAACAATGCACTAAAACTTTAGAAATGGTGGCATGAATTGCAAAACAGACTGAATATAATTAAAATTGTTCAAAACTTAGCAGCATGTAATTCATGTTGAAAGAAAAAAAAATAAACAGAGCTGTATTGAAGGAGAAGAAAAAAAAGTCAAAAGTTTCAGGAAAAAATACAGAAAATTGTATTGATAGGGAAGAAAAAAGAGAGAATATCACCAAAAATTTATCGAAATTTTCAGGGCCAAAAAAGCACTATTCGGCGGGTCCAAAAACCGGATAGCGCGATTATCCGGCCGGATCCGGATACTTGCGAAAATCGTATCCGGCCGGAGCCGGATATCCGGTATCCGGCCGGATAATCCGGCAATCCGGATAATCGCCGGATACTCGGCCCAACTCTAATTTCTAGGTATATAAATTAAAGTATTTAATTCCAAGAAATTGCCAGTTTTTAGAAAAAGTAAGAGCCTACTTAATTGGATACTTCAAATAAAGTACATCAAGAAATAAAGAACAAAATCATATTTAAAAGAAATATTTTTTACCTTCTCTTGTCTCAATTTTTCTTTCCTTTCCTCTTCAGTCAGGGCTTCATTGTCTAATTTTTCATTTCCTGCGTGACTAATTTGTTCCTGCTCCATCTCATTTTCATCACCTTCTTCATTTTCTGAATCACTGTTGTTTTCACTCTCATCATCTTCATCTTCTTCTTCTGCTGATGAAATTTCATCCGAGTCTTCCCCTGTAATAGAGGCAAAACCATGCTTCAAAACTGATGAACAAGACTAGATTTTAATAAATTATGGTCACGCAATTCGAACACAAGGACACACAAACAATTAAAGAAGTGTAAATTATAGCACTAAATCACTTTTTCCTTGTAGAAACTCATTAACAATTATACATGCAACAAATTTTGTGCGTCAAATTTTCATTGAAAGAGAACAAAATTTAAAAAAAAAGTTTTCCGCGTTGTTTTGCTTTGAACCTTAAACATATGAAAGCAAATAATCTGATGATGCCTTTAATGGTTGCAAGCCTCAGGCAAGGTTCCACAATACCTTCCTTCTCTCTTATACAGCAATCAAAGACCTCAAAATTCCCTTCTCTAAGTTCTTTTACTATTCGCGAGAAGTTTCGTAAATTAGTAAAGTGTGACAAACCTCTGTTGAGCATAACAGTTGGGTCATGGAGAGCCCTTTCTTCTGGTGGAACATAACGAGTGGTAGATGTGGATGAAACAAATGGAGATAAATGAGCAGGCAACTCAGCACCGATTAAATACTGATCAGTTGGGATCAATTCTCTTCGATTCACACAATCAAAAACCCATTGCGGCTGGACATAATATCTGCAAGCAAATACATTTTGATGCAAAATATAATTTAGTTAGTATCCTGAAAACTTATTCATTTAAAGGTATTTTTAAAACACTCTTTTTGAAACTACATACTTGACAGTCTGTTTTTTATTTAAGTTAAAAGAATAGAGGAATCATTTTACTCACTTCAACACGCTTCTGTGTTCAGATGATCACAGCCCTATTTTCGAACAAAAGCACCTACACTTAACGTTCCAAGTGCAAAAAGTTAATTAACTATGCGCAGTTGGAAGTTTTTCAGTTTTTTATTTTGTGTTTTTGACAATCATGCAATATTACAGGACAGCTTTTTTTCTTAAATCTAAGGATAAACATATAATTAGTCTAAAATGATCATTGTCATTATCTGATGACAGAAAATTCAGGAAATCAGGATTGCCAAAACAAACATAAGTCCAAGTAAAAGCATTTAAAGCGTGATAGAAGGATGGAACAATTCAATCGAATCATTTCATTTTTCTAAGATGATGCAAGAACTCAATGGAGAAAACATTTGAAAAAAACTCTTTGATTACAATACAATGCAAAAGGGTTACTGTGTAACTTCTATTGGAAAAGAAGATTATTGTATTATGCTCAAAATGTTGTGCAAATATAAATATATGAACAGCTGTAAAATATTGGCCACATACTGCAATTAGATACATTTTTCCGTCAATGCTTCTCTATTACAAACAGTACCACAGCGCTACCTTCTTATGCCTCAGCCTTATCAGTAAAATGAGAAACTAGGGAGATTCCTTGTTACATCATAGTATCATTGATCACTTGCTCCTGTGATTATCTACGGGTAGGCTGCTCAAAACCTGCATAAGAGGCATCACAATCTCACTATTGCGAACGCATGCATTCCTATAGAATACCTATAAAAGATTCAATTTTTACTCAAATACCTACATACTTGATTTTACAACCATATGGTTCAGTAAATTTGAAAATTCAAGCTATAAAGTTAGCGTTCAAATCAAATATCAGAAAAAACTTTGTACAGCAATATTCGAGATTTTCAAATATTTACTCAATGCTACTAACAATAAAAAGGTTGGTTAAAGCACAACTGCATGAGAGGGGACATCTTTTACCTGGAAATAAACTTTTTTTCCACACTTGGTCTATCAACGATCTGGTGAGTGATGGTTTCATCATCTTCAGAAAATGTAGCTCCTACAAAAGTTGTTTTGTCCCATGAGACTTCTGCACCAAAACAGCGCAAAATAAAGACTAACGGCTCACGGGGGACCTCTCGATTGAGGAAAACTTTCAGTCCATTGAATAATGTTTTCAATTTTGCCACCTGTTCAAATTCTTTTTTCACCCTCTCTGCTTCTTCTGGATCATCGCCCTAGAAAAATGAAAAATGAATTTGAAAATTTAACTACAGAAAAAACGAATAATGTTCATTTGTAAATTTTAGAATCTTTGCTTATCAATGCATACTGCACAAATTTAGTTCAGGTGAAAGTTAATTTATTAGTTGACAACAAGGAAAGAACAATGCAAAAAGGTTAATGTGTAACTTCTGTTGGAAATGAAGATGATTGAAGATGTTGTTTAGTTTCTTTTCAAGTATAACAACAAGCCATACGATAATTGGCTTAAATGTTGGGCGCTCTGGAAGTTTGATTATCCATTTATATCAGGTGTTGTCTCTCCTCCACTCTGTTTTTTTTCAGGAAATTAATGTTGATAATGCTTTGCAATAGCGATAATGTTTAATAGTTTCGTGGCATCAAATGAGTTTTCACGTTCTCCTCCTGCTCAGTTAGATTTCAAAGATTCTCAGGCTGCGAAGGATTACTTACATCCGGAAATTGATCCAACTCAACATCATCATCGACAGGAGCAGGCCCAGCTCTCATTAGAGGTGTATTCAGCGCAGCAACTCTTTCCATTATATAAGTTTCAGGATCTACTAGTGACTTTTCAGTTTTGGTCACTGAAATTAAAGAACACAGGAGCTAGAGATTTGTTTAAAATGTTGAGTAGAAAATTATCTGAGACATACAAGTTTTCTTTTCTAGAAACTTTGTAACTTTAAAAGAAGAAATCCACGATACTATTCATACTAGGATGGGCAAGAGACACACTTGACTCAGCCTAGCTTTTTTCTTTTTGAAGAAATTACAGTCTGCTTAGGACTACTTTTCATGTTGTGCGTTAAAGAGGAAAACTTTGAAAGATAGGCGATTTCTAATCTAATTCTCATTAACATCTTTGGGGGAGGGGAGGGGGATTCGGAATTTTTAAAGAGGGACCACCCTCTAGCAATAAAGCTTTGAAGCAAGCTGTAGAAAAAGATAATTTTAATGAAGAAAGCAAGTCTCTTTCCATCACCGTTACAAAACAGAAACTGATCAATGTTTTGTAATTTCCCATTGCATTTGGCTGCCATTCTGAATTGGTTATGGATTGAAATTTCGAGTGTTCCCTTTAAAGTTCCTTTCTTCATCTTTTTTCAATGAAACACAACTTGAAAGAAGTTTCAGATGACCCTCAAAGTTTAATAAATCAGCAAAAAAACAGGAAAAAAAAGAAACTTAGAGAGATTAACAGGAGGTCTCGGACAATCACTCATTCAAGATAACTGTTGGGGAGAGATTTAAAATAGACGCCTTAATTTCCTCTTTAGATGTTCTTCCTAAACATACGCCAACGGGGGAGGACCGTTATTTGAAACTGCAGTTTTAATTTAAGTCTCACTTCGTTTACTTTAATTCCCACAAGACGCAAGCAACATGAAAAGACATACTGAAAATAATTGCCAACTGACTATGATCTGAAGGCAGGCAAACCCCTCTGATCTAAATTAGAATCAAAATGAAAATTCAATGCAGAATGTTCCCTGCCTTTACATTTGCTTAACACAGTTTTCACAAAACTCCGCATCATAAACCATGCAGCTGCCCCCTCCCAGAAAATAGCTTGTTTAAAAGATTTCTGGATGGAGTAACAGGTTTAAACAAAATTCTATCGCTATGAATGCATAAACAGATGAAAAATTCAGGGCGTCCACATGTTTTAATTAACACAGCTGCAAGAAGTCAAGTAATTTCTGCATTCCTGTTTAAAATGTCTAACATGCAACTGAAACATTTTAGAGCTTGACTAAATTATAAAGTTGAGTGGAATAGTTGTTAATACAGACCAGAAACAAAATTCAATTTTGGCGGGTACACAAGATTCAATTGGTGAAACAGCTTGAAGTTAACAAATCCAAGTAAGTTGATGTAAAACTGAACAAATGTCGACATGGTACCAAAGTCAGCTTCCAATTTTGATGCCGGCTAAAAGAGAAGAAGTAAAGATAAAGAAATGACTTAAAATTATAATCATACAATATAACAAGCTGTGATAATGGAAAAATCCAACCCTTATTTCTCATTTTTTATTTTTATCAGAGTTGCAACAAAAAAAAATATTACACCTATGTATCACGCTATCAGTAGTCAGTAAGGAGAGAAAGAAAGAGAGAAAAAAAAAATACCAACTGGGCTCATGTTGAAAAACTGAAGTGGTAGATTTGAGGAATTTTTTAATTGCGGAGAGAGAGAGGAGTCTCCAGAAATTAATACTTTTTCTTATTGTTTGCTTCCATTGTTATTTGTTTCTTTTATGAGGGCCACCGAGGTAACAAAAAGTTAATTAAGTGTTTTCAAAAACAACAAGGAGGCAAGCAAATTTTTGACATTTTAGAGGGTACTGTAAGGGAATTTTTGTCTATTGGCATACTCTGCTGCCCTGTGAAATTTCGTAAGATATGTAGTAAAGGATTCCTACGTCAGTTTGATGATAACCACACAATGTTTACTACTGTGAAACTTTAGCTTTTAGAGGGAATGAGAGTAACATATGTATAAATGGTTCACAATTTACTTACATTAAAGGTAAACTGATGGGGCACAGTCCATGTTATTGTTTGCCCTTTAATTTCAGCTTGGAAATAGAAACCTTTGACAGAGATAAATGCTTTACGAAGGCTGCGAGAGGCGATCACGGCATGTTGAAATTCAAGAGTTAATCGTCTGGCTAAATTAACAATAGCTCTTGGAACTTTGGAGAATTTTGGAAGTGTTGCATAGAAGAAACACATTGTCAAACAATCATCTAGATCACTGAGGGCGTCTATAAATGTTGGGTACCTGAATGAATGTGATAAAACATACATTTAAAACAAATATTCATTGAGCATAGAATAGAGCATACAAAAAAATCAACTAATTGGTTTAAGAAATAGTTTTAAGGTAAAACACATCAATAATACATGAATGATGAAATTAAATGGTCTAAGACACCAAGTGGCAACAATCCAAAATTCCTTTAGTAATGGGTCTTTTTGTTTGCATGACATCTAAAACGAAGGGATTCGGCACCAGCTATGTGATTTTTTGATGTGATGTTCTTCCATACCTGCTGCAAACTCTACTGGCGCCTACTACGCTAACTGATTAAGGATGAGATTTCCATTGTTTTCTTCTTCATGTCTGCAGGGTTTGGTAGTGCTTAGAGAAACTAGATACTTTCATTCAATTACCTTTCTTTAATTATATGATCCATTTTCAGTCTAGGCTTGTTCTTTGTGAGAACGCGCAGATGTTCGAAGTTTCCAGCATGTTTGGCTTTAATCTTCTTCTTGTTCAAAGCCTAATTTTTGGGATAAAAACACACCAATTAAATTAAAAATGAATGAAATTCTGGGAGACAGATAAGTATAGGTAAATGTTGTCCGACCAAAAAATATTGTCGACAAAGGAAGGAGAACTTTCGGGTAAATTTTTTACTAAACCATTTGAGTTAACTACTTAATGTGATCCTCAAAAGTGAAATTGCTACAATTTCATGCACTTGGTAAGCAATGAGACTTCTGCCATTGAAAATTGTCAGAGATGTACTGATTCAGCAAGATTTTAGTAACTTTGGGAGCGTTCATAATTTAGCCTATTAAATTACCTAGATCATACCTACTTCGGCATTGACTCAAATTATAAGGCAGATTTTCCAAAAACTTCATATTCAGAGCCTGAAAGTGAGGGAGAGATTAGCGTAATGGGCTGGAAAATTAATTATTGATAAGTAATGATGGCATAATCTTGTAAGAAAAGTTCTATTAGACATGTTCTGAGTCAATAGCAAAAAGGGTTTTCACATTGACAGAACAAAGCAATATCTGGAGCTACTAGACTAAAGCAAACTGAAAGAGAAACATATCCAACACACGTACCTGTCCTTCCCAAAGCTTCCAGATGTTAGGTTCATGAAGCAAAAACTGGATGTCTTTCTTGGCATACAAAGTTTTGATTCCACCCTTTCCTCCTTGGGCACGTTTCCTTTCTTTTGGTTCTCGTGGGTAGATCCCTTTTAAAATACAAAGAGTTCGAAACTGCTTCAGGTTGAGCTGCAGTTTTTTAAGTGCCACATTCCTGGAGATGTACTCGGTAGCCTCTCCCTCGGTGAACTATAAGTAAAGACAATCTGTTAAAAATCTGTGACTTTTTTTTGGTGACTTACACAAAAAAAACCCATAGAGTAAATAGAGTCGTAATAAAATGAAGTGAGCTAGGGTCATGTTCTGGTCAACGTATTCCGAGCCCGGTGTGCGCTGAGATTCGGTTACCTTTTCCGTAGATTTTTGATCCAAAATAGCCATTTATAATATGTAATAATACAAAACCTCTTTGTTTACATCAGATACCCTATTGCCAATCGGGTACCTGTGTACCGATTATGATTGATTATGTACCAAAATGGTGACCAGGCACCGTTCAGGAGTCATAGAATTTGGTGACAGGAGAATGCTTAACAGTGGCGCCCGCTCCTCCATTCCTATTGCCTATAAAAAGCCATTATTAAAGTTCTAAAATATACTTTAGCTTCAAATTGAAACTATTATCCCCACTACTTCCAAATTTTTGAAAGCTGCAAACTCAGCAGAGGAATGTGCATGGAACAAAGTGAGCTGAGCATTCTGTGGCAGGATGAAGATGAACCTGCCTAGAGTAACATTTTCATGATTCTGATCATAATACAGTGATTTGCTTTGCGCAGTGGTTAAGAATTTAGTTCCTACAAAGGACTTCTCAGAACTTGAAGTTAGAGAGAAGAGAAGAGATGGAGTCAATAAAGTGTAGCCATGCGTTGATGTGCCAAGGGGAAAAACTGATTCAAAGCTGCGACCAATGGTCAAAAAATGGAGTTTGAAACCAAAAATGAGGCTTACCTTCTTCTTCCTTTTACCCATTTCGGCGATGAACTATTTAAAAATTACTAGAACTTACAACTACTGCATTAGCAATTAATTTGCAAAAATTAATGGTGGTTTAACCTCAAAGAAAAACAATTCAACACTATCAACACGTGCTCAGTCGGCACTCAACTTTCAACTTTCAGGGGAAGGTAGGAGGGAAGGGGAAAAGACTGGTGACGTGTAGTGATGTGACGTCGACAATGTAAACAAAACAAAACTTTTTGCTTTAACCTCACTTTAGTCTCTCACCGGATTTTTCTTGCATTTTTTGGTCAACAAATTACAAAATAGTCTGTTAATTTTGTTCTTTAGGGCAAATAGTTACTGTTTTAGTACTCTTCATTAGTTTGCTGTGGTTGGTACCAAATAATCCCAAGTATTTCGTGGTGTCATGCGTGATCCGTGGATTTGATTGTCATCACTGAAAGTGGCAACTCAAAGTTGTTATCAGTGGCTAAACAACTCGTCCCAAATTTTTGCTCCATTGAAGTAAGCTGACGGCAAGATGACTGAAGATCCTTTCCTTTCAGAATTGATTACCAATGACCCGAATTCTTTATTTGAGAAGTACAATAAAGATGAGATAGAACGAGTTCATTCGAAGTTAAGTTCGGAGATTGAGAAGAAGAAAGAAGAGTTACGCACAATGGTGGGGTGAGTGTTTATTTTCTTCATCTTTATACTCTCCCCAAATCAATAAATTGGCTCTGGCGTTTTTCTAGCCAGCCTATTCCATAGGACAACTGGTTAAAAGTTTAATAACTCCACCTCTTTTGGACAAGTGAACTAATGAAATACTGAATATTTACTTAAGAGGCGGAACATTTTTGTTTAAAGCAAGAATCACAACTACCAACAATGCCTGATCTTATGAGCTTAAAAATATCTGTGTGTGCGTACCATTAAGAAACTACGAAGAAGCCTTCCTTCGGCTGCTGAGAAAGAACACCTATCATGCTTCACTTTATTTAGTTGTGAAAATCTTAGGCAAGAGCGCGCTGAATGGAAAACAGATAAGTTTTTAGACCTTGATTAAGCGGCACAAACTTGTTAAAACATTTTCCAGAGCAATATGTTGACTGAGGGGCATACTGGGCTCTCAGTTGTAGTGAAGGCAACCAATCTAGGAGAGCGCACTCCGAATTCAAACGTTGGTCCTCCAGGTTGGAGGTTAAGTCATCTGGCTGACTCCCCAGTACTTGTATAAAATAAAATTGCCAAACAACCTAGCCAAAGAAGCCTCAGTGCCCATGAAACTTTGGGAGGATAGGGGACCTTGGCGGCTAGGTGTCGCAGAGCGTCAGAGAGCGCTATAAAAGCGGCCTTATACATACATACATATGTTGACTAAATTTATCAGTGAGAAAGAATTACACATATTAGCATTCGTCAGGGAGTGTCGGATTTATTTTACCTTCTTTTTCAGGGAGAGGTATCGCGATCTCATCAATGCTGCTGATTCAATCAAAAGTATGGAGGTATTGTCATCAAAAATCATAGACGATGTCCATGACCTGTCTGAATTCTGCTCCTCCTTGAAAGAAAAAATAAATTTTAGACATCAAAGTTCTTTGAAAAAGAACCTGGAAACAAGGTAAGTGCAAGTTTCCTATTTTGGTTTAAGTACCTCTCTAACTCCAAAGAATTGCTGTTCATACTTGTATGCAGTATAAACAGCATAGTATGGATTTTATTTTGATCTCACTCAGTACCTAGACACTTCCTTCTTTGCCAGTTGAAAAATATGTCCAAATCTACGCAAAGTCATATCATAAGGTGAGGTTAATTAAAATCTCTCCTTTGAAAAGGTGATACCGGCAATGTCCAGAATGAGGGAACCTTGCAACATGAGCTATTGCCAAATATTGAATACTTCAGTACTTTATATACATCAGTGCAGATTCTTTTGGAAATATCAGAGAATTTTCTCCAAGGTAAATAGGTATGCAAATAATTCTGTGAAATTTTTGAAGGAATCCATCCAGATGGATGTTCTCCTGCACAAAAAATGTATTATCCAAGGAAAGGAGGGGTATCGTTAAGGGCCTTTTTTGGCCCCACCCTAAAATTCCTCAACTCCGCGATTTTTTGGTCATTGAAGGTCTATATTTTACGGAATGCACAATGGTTTTGTCATTTCCGGTCTATTTCGGGGTCTACCACTGGCCTAAACATGGGTCTGAAGGCCAATTTTGGCGAAAAATGCGGGTTTTTCAGCATTCGACGCGCTGTTTCGTAACGATCCCTTCGGAGGACAAAAAAATCCTTCAAGTATGTTCATTAGGGATGTAAGAGAGTCACTTTGGCCAATTTTNTTGAGCTTGACGAATCACCTTAAGATGAACCTGCCTGGAGTAACATTTTCATGATTTTGATCATAATACAGTGATTGGCTTGGCGCAGAGGTTAAGAATTTAGTTCCTACAAAGAACTTCTCAGAACTTGAAGTTAGAGAGAAGAGGAGAGACGGAGTCCATAAAGTGAAGCCATGCGTTGATGTGCCAAGGGGAAAAACTAATTCAAAGCTGCGACCAATGGTCAGAAAATGGAGTTCAAAACCAAAAATGAGGCTTACCTTCTTCTTCCTTTTACCCATTTCGGCGATGAACTATTTAAAAATTACTAGAACTTACAACTACTGCATTTGCAATTAATTTGCAAAGATTTATGGTGGTTTAACCTCAAAGAAAAACAATTCAACACGTGCTCGGTCGGCACTCAACTTTCAACTTTCAGGGGAAGGTAGGACTTAGGAGGGAAGGGGAAAAGACTGGTGACGTGTGATGTGACGTCGACAATGTAAACGAAACAAAACTTTGAGCTTTAACCTCACTTTAGTCTCTCACCGGATTTTTCTAACATTTTTTGGTCGACAAATCACAAAATAATCGTTTAATTTTGTTCTTTAGGGCAAATAGTTACTGTTTTATCACTCTTCATTAGTTTGCTGTGGTTGGTACCAAAGAATCCCAAGTATTTCGTGGTGTCATGCGTGATCCGCGGATTTGATTGTCATCACTGAAAGTGGCAACTCAAAGTTGTTATCAGTAGCTAAACAACTTGTCACAACTTTTTGCTCTATTGAAGTAAGCTGACGGCAAGATGACTGAAGATCCTTTCCTTTCAGAATTGATTACCAATGACCCGAATTCTTTATTTGAGAAGTACAATAAAGATGAGATAGAACGGGTTCATTCGAAGTTAAGTTCGGAGATTGAGAAGAAGAAAGAAGAGCTACGCACCATGGTGGGGTGAGTGTTTATTTTCTTCATTTTGATACTCTCCCCAAATCAATTAATTGGCTCTGGCGTTTTTCTAGCCTTCCTATTCCATAGGACAACTGGTTAAAAGCTTAATAACTCCACCTCTTTTGGACAAGTGAACTAATGAAATACTGAATATTTATTTAAGAGGCGGAACATTTTTGTTTATAGCAAGAATCACAACTACCAACCATTCCTGATCTTATGAGCGTTAAAATATCTGTGTGTGCGTACCATTAAGAAACTATGAGGAAGCCTTCCTTAGGCTGCTGAGAAGGAACACCTATCATGCTCAACTTTATTTAGTTGTGAAAATCTTAGGCAAGAGCGAGTTGAATGGAAAACAGATAAGTTTTTAGACCTTGATTAAGCGGCACAAACTTGTTAAAACATTTTCCAGAGTAATATGTTGACTGAGGGGCATATTGGGCTCTCAGTTGTAGTGAAGGCAACCAATCTAGGAGAGCGCACTCCGAATTCAAACGCTGGTCCTCCAGGCTGGAGGTTAAGTCATCTGGCTGACTCTGTGGTACTTGTATGAAATAAAATTGTCAAACAACCTAGCCAAAGAAGCCTCGGTGCCCGTGAAACTTTGGGAGGATAGGGGACCTTGGCGGCTAGGTGTCGCAGAGCGCCAGAGAGCGCTGTAAAAGCGGCCTTATACAAACATACATATCGACGGTGAAACTACCAAACCACGTATCTCGTTTGCAGTGTTTGAAAATCTCCGCTCACATTTTATTTTTTTGAAGAAGACCAGATCAATATCATTCATTGAAATTTTCACAGAGTTTTCTCAGAGAAGAGGAAAAATCATGGAAATTTTCAAGAACTGACGTTGAGTAGTTTTTCATTTAAGAAGTGAAGTAAGACAGGAAGTTTACAACGTCGCAAACCGAGATACGTGGTCTGGTACTTTCACCGTCGATATGTTGACTAAATTTATCTGTGAGAAGGAATTACACATATTAGTATTCGTCAGGGAGTGTCCGATTTATTTTACCTTCTTTTTCAGGGAGAGGTATCGCGATCTTATCAATGCTGCTGATTCAATCAAAAGTATGGAGGTATTGTCATCAAAAATCATAGACGATGTCCATGCCCTGTCTGAATTCTGCTCCTCCTTGAAAGAAAAAATCAATTTTAGACATCAAAGTTCTTTGAAAAAGAACCTGGAAACAAGGTAAGTGCAAGTTTCCTATTTTGGTTTAAGTACCTCTCTAACTCCAGAGAATGGCTGTTCATACTTGTATGCAGTATAAACAGCATAGTATGGATTTTACTATGATCTCACTCAGTACCTAGACACTTCCTTCTTTGCCAGTTGAAAAATATGACCAAATCTACGAGAAGTCATATCATAAGAAGGTGAGGTTAATTAAAATCTCTCCTTTGAAAAGGTGATACCAGCAATGTCCAGAATGAGGGAACCTTGCAACATGAGTTATTGCCAAATATTGAATACTTCAGTACTTTATATACATCAGTGCAGATTCTTTTGGAAATATCAGAGAATTTTCTCCAAGGTAGGTATGCAAAAAATTTTTGAAATTTTTGAAGGAATCCATCCAGATGGATGTTCTCCTGTACAAAAAATGTATTATCCAAGGAAATTTGGAATTAGCTTATATGACTTGGGTCTCCTTTTTCGAAGCACTGCCCGTATATGTATTTATTTATGTCCACACTGGTGTGGACATAAACACTGTTGCTGCTGCCCTTTAGCGGCTAAGAAAACTCTTAAATTCGGCGGTTACGGTAATGACACGAAACTCAGTAACAAGCATAAATCATTCAAAAAATGCCGAAATAGTTGGATTTAAAACCTCTTCTTGTGATCAAATATTTTCTAGGATATACTGAAACTAATAATCCAGCTGAAAGTCAAATCAGTCAAACTTGTCTCGGTTTTATGATAGGCTAAAAATACCAAATCAGAAAAGTAACAGGTTACGGTAATGACATTTTGGACATTTGGGGCCCAAAAAATATTAAAAATGGAAGATTTTTGGGAAGAATGAGGTCTGAATCAGATAGAGGGTAAAATTTTGAATAGGAAACAAGAAGAAGGGAAAAAAAATCAATCAACTCGATGCAAAAAATTGGAAGTAACGTGGAATATGAAAGCTTATTTGAAACGACCCACGTCAGTCTGCTGTTACTAGATAGGCATTCCCTCTCAGTTTTTTATTTTTTATCAAAAGCCTTACTGCTATCTACAGATTAATGTTACAATGAAGAAGTAACTTGGCGAATATCTCCAGTTTTCAGAGCTGGCATACCTGAAATGTTGTATTTTTATATCATGTTCAGTATTTTAAACACAATCTAAACTTTTTGTAAGTTTACACTGTTTTTCAAAGTTATAACCAATACAATTTTAAATACAGCAATGAGAGTGGTTCCCACAATCTTGTCTTATTACCTACTTGTATTTAATAATAACTGATGGTGAGCTAATTGTATGAATGGAGCATCTGGTTTTCTCATCATGGTTCAAAAATAATGATTAGAAGTGGAAGAAATGGAAAAGTATGTTCAAAAAGGAAGCCGTGAGTAATTGCATTATTATTATAATACTGGCAAATTCAACGTTAATTCATGATGTTTAGATCTTGAGTGTGTTTCTTCTCTGCTCTGGAATCAACACAATTCAATGCTTCATTATTTTCCCTCCTAATTCTCTCTNTTTTATTTTTTATCAAAAGCCTTACTGCTACCTACAGATTAATGTTACAATGAAGAATTCACTAGGCAAATATCTCCAATTTTCAGAGCTGGCATACCTGAAATGTTGTATTTTTATATCATTTTCCGTATTTTAAACACAATCTAAACTTTTTGTAAGTTTACCCAGTTTTTCAAAGTTATAACCAATACAATTTTAAATACAGCAATGAGAGTGGTTCCCACAATCTTGTCTTATTACCTACTTGTATTTAATAATAACTGATGGTGAGCTAATTGTATGAATGGAGCCTCTGGTTTTCTCATCATGGTTCAAAAATAATGATTAGAAGTGGAAGAAATGGAGAAGCATGTTCAAAAAGGAAGCCGTGAGTAATTGCATTATTATTATAATACTGGCGAATTCAACGTTTATTCAACGTTAATTTATGATGTTTAGATCTTGAGTGTGTTTCTTCTCTGCTCTGGAATCAACACAATTCAATGCTTCATTATTTGCCCTCCTAATTCTCTCTGGTTTTATGAGAACTTTGTGTGACACAAGTATTTTAATGCAATTGGTCAATTGTTTCTATTTTTAGTGACGAAGACAGAAGAAACAATATTGTCGCCCAGTTGAAAGTTATCATGGATTTGTCTAAAGAAATTTGGCATTGTGTTGATGAGGAGCAGTTTTTGAAAGCAACATTATTATTTCAACTTGTATGCTTCATGAAAACAAGTAAGTTTCATTTTTTATTTTTTCCTCTTGATTATGAAGGAAATTTAACTCAAAACTTAACTTCACTTTTAAAGCAATTCCGGTAAACCAGTACTTATTGTCAGTAAATATTTTTATTTTACGAGTATTTAATACAATTTGTAGCTATGAATACTATTTTTCAGGGCAGCAATCAGCATGTTATATGAAAACCACATGGAGTTAGGGCACATACCGTTGTCTCCCACATGAAGCAATGCATCTTGTGTATGCTGTTTTAGTATTTCCATGAACATTTTAATTTTTAATCGAAGAACCATTCCATGAATTTGTCCAAAAATTTTAGAGTCTTCTCTCACGAGTGCAAAAAAAAAAAAAAAAAAAAAAAAAAAAATTGGAAATTTCAGACAAATTCATAAGATGGTTTTTTTTACGAAAAATTAAAACGTCAGTAAAAAATACTGAAACTGCGCAATTGAGATACGCTCTTTTTTTGTGGGAGATGTGTGACTAATGTTGCTGAAACTATGCAACTTTGATGTTCACATAATTCAATGAAATGCTTTTTACTTCACAACAAATACGAGGAAGACCCAAAAATCGGACTTCTCTTGTAGCTTGGCAATGACTCAAATTTTCGGGTTCCACCAATAAGAGGTGTAACTAGTAGCTATGAAGAGTTGCTGGGAGCCTGGCGGATGTTTGAGCAATAAATCACACTTTAAAGCGAAAAAAAAACTTTTGTCTTCTCAAGTTTTTGGAAAAGCATGTTCTCTGCACGATTCACTCATAGTGCTTAGAATAATTTAGTCCTTTGAATTAATTACTTTTGTTAAAGGATATATTTTAACTTACTTGAGCATTCGGTCAGCGACTCTGTAAGTTTTATGTGCAACTCTTATCAATAATTTTTTTTCATTCTAGGTCTAGATATTCATCATCAGTATAGTTTAGAAACAGAATTTCCTGTTGTCAAGCAGATATGGCAATCAATAGCAAATTTCCAGCCTACAATCATAGAGAATTCTGAAAACAAGCTACGGTCTAGCTCTTTAGCACTTGAGGTACAAGTATATGACAAATTACCAAAATTCTTTATTTCTTCAATTTTTTTCTTCAAAAGAAAGTTTCTTGTTGTAAATACCATTACTGTTACAGGTTCATTTGGGATGGACTCAGTCTCCATGATTTTAGAAAGTAATCATGATACCTACAATGAGTTTGAGTAACGAAAAAAGTAAATAAAAAATGGCCTTGCAGTAGGAATCACAGTTCTGAGTGTTATCATATCTTTTGAAACAACCCAAACACAATTTATTATCATGTGCTTTAAAACAATGATCTGTGGCTCACCTTCTTTGATAATAAATGAAGGATAACTTCACGATAGCAAGGATAAAAGGAATGCAGCACATCCTGTAGCCTTAAGATGTTTAATTGTCTCAAAGCTGCGTTTTGAAAGGAGAATATTTTTGGTATCTCTTGCTCATGGCTCCTGGAGAGGGGAAAGCAAAAAAGAAGGGTTGGTACCAAACCTGGTCCACGAGTCAATCTCTCCCTAAACTTGACCATGTTAGCACATAATCGTTTGCAATGCTTTTAAAACTCTTGTTGAAAATGTTCAGTGACTTTTTTATTTTATTTAACACAAACTGATTTCTTTATTTGTTTCTTTATTTTTTTTAGGTTGGCTGTGAATGTGTATGCAGCCTCCTACTTTTAGAAAATTTGACTTTTGAAAAATTGGAAACAAAGTTTTTAAAACTTCGATCCGATGCTTTGAAATCTTGTTTTGAAGGAACAGAAGAGGTATCAGTCATCAAGTCTTGTATTGCAAGAAGTTTATCTCTTGTGTCGAACACATTGCATACATTTTACTTCTATTTTCTTGGTGAGTGAGCTCTACCATTCATCATTGGAATTTGCAATTTATTGTACACCCTCATTTTCCAAAATTCATGAACAACTGACAATGGTGTATTGTCACCGAAAATTTTTTATTGTTTGTATACTCTTTCAAGTTGCCCAAGAAAAGAATGTTGCCCCAAAAATTGCAGGAAAATAATGATTAGCATTTCAGAACAGTCTGAAATCCACTCTTTAGTGCGCAGTCTGCATATTTTGTACGACACTTTTTCAAGTTTCCTGCATTAGGTGGTGGTTTTCTCAGTCGCTCAGAAACAGGTTTGCCCAGACAGAGGAGTAAGAAAACCTAACATGAGTAAATAAACCATTTCGCAAACATCTTCTCTTACATGATTTCGATTGTTTTCAAGCTTTTGCTTCCTTCTTCTTTTTTTGTTTTAATAGAACAAAAGCTTTGAATCGATTCTCATGTAAGGATAGTTTTTGAAAGTTTGCGAGATTGATTGTTTGTTTTAGTTAGGTTTTCTCGAGTCTCTTTATAGGCAAACCTGACTGTCGACCATCACGGAAATCAAGTGTAAATTTAGAAAAGTAAGTTACACTGATTGCACACTAAGGCATGGATTCCAGACTTTCTTGATGTGCCCAGCATGATTTTTGTTCGTTATTACATGTCATTACATTGTCTCATTCTGCATGGCTTTATCAATTTTTTTAATAAAGTATATTCATTGTGGAATAAAACTCCTGTAAGTTGGCTGATTTGAAAACCTCAAATCATATTACTTTTACAGAAATGTCAATACTTTTTTTTTGTTGATGTCCTTTGTACTTGATTTCCAGAAAATGATTTGGCTGCAAAGGGTTTGGTTGTGGAACAATTACTGAAAATTACTGATCATCAGAGTTCACCACTACTGCTCCAATTCAAATTGACAGAAGAAGTACAGCTACGAAAATTCCTTCCACCTCTCATTCAAAATTTCAGGTACTGTTAAAACTCAAGTATTTAATATTTCTTAATACTCACCTTTAAAAATATTGTGACCGTAACTAAGTAAACCTCGAGATAGCCCTCAGTAAAACTCTCATCTTATTTGATGTTGCTTGCCATGCCAAGCAAATGCATTTTCATTTGGAAAGCAGTTTCGATATCAGTATCGAATGTGAAATTTTTTTCCTCTAAAAGAACCACACCTTTATTACGCTAAATTTGTTTGTCAAAATTGGTCAGTGAATTCTTTAGTCTCCTGACAACAGAATTACGACCTCAAAATTCGAGAAAAATTATGAATGACTGAAAAAATGGAACCAATCGATGCAATACATCGCATGTCTCTCTGACAAAAAATATAGTGTCCATCGAATCACCTTAATGTAAATTCACTGGATCTTGCAATCTCTAGCTTAGTTTTTTAACCTAATATTTTTTTCTTCTTTTTTAAAATTTTAGACCTTCAGTATCGCAAGAAGTAAAGCTAGACGGTTTGGACTCCACTGCTACTTGTAATCGCATCTCTAGTTGGTTGAAATGGGCATCTGATGTAATCAGTTTAGATGGGAAGAAGCTATTCAAAGTAGTAGAAACATCACGAAGTCTTCGAGCACTCCAAGAGCATGATTCTAGTTACATTTCTGACTGGCCAGAAGTTGTTCAAAAGCTCAATCTGCAAATTGATCTAAATCTGTGGAACTACTTCTACTATCCTTTGTTTATGAACAGGGCCAAAGAATTGCTGTCTCAGCGTTGGGAACTAACTTTTAAATTATTGCTCGATAAAGTTGATGTAATTTTAAAAGAAGCGAATAGTACTGAGAAGAAGGAACCAGAGCAAGACTTGAAGTGGTTTGTATGGACAGAATCTTCCTCCGATTTGGAATTCAAGTCATCTGTGAAAAATAAAGAATCAAATGGATTGTTTTTAAAATCTAAAGGATTTTCTCCCCGAATTGCTGTATTATGCAATGCTCTGCAAACATTATTGTTGGGTCTGTTAGAAGATCTTGCTAATTTAGCTCCCGATACAAGCTCCGTCCAAAGTATTAATATTGATGAGCTTAAAGCCCACCAGGAAACTTGTTGCTCTACACTAATTCGCAATCTTGTGAAATGGATTGAATCCAAAGTGTCTAGTATGGATTCATTAACTCATGTAATAATTTTGGCTCGTTTTTGTGTTGCATTACCTGTTCTTTGCCCTGCTTTACAAGAATGTCTGTCTACAGAAGCATGGTTAGAGGCTAACACATTCTTACAAAATGCTAATAAATCAGCGTGGAATGTATGGTTAAAATTAATAACACCCAAATTAGAGGAGGATTTGAAACGAGATCTAGAAATACCGATTGATGTCTCACAATTTTTGCTAAACCATCCATCTTGGGAAGTTGTCAGAATAGAAGAGGCAAATGAACAAAATGTTCTCATAACATCTGAATTAAATGTTCCTTGCTTGCCTAGTTTTCAAATTCAGTCCGTAATAAGCAATATTAGTAATTTAATTTCAACACTCTCCTTGAGTCCATTTGTAAGGGATGAGCTGATCAATTTTGTTGTTGAAAAAAGTCTACTAATTTATGATGTGACTACATCTGATCCAAAAGCTCTTCAAATCCACCATTTGCAATGTTTGTTTGATGTAAAATTTTTGTTGACGGCAGTCGTTCCGCCCGATAGCAAGCATGTCATTAGTCTTTGTAATGAAGCAATTTCAAAAATTGAACAGAAAATGGACCCGTTTGATCTTGATGTCATTAGTCCACACTTACACAATAATGTTAAAAAATCATTGTATAGAATTCATTGTTTGTACGGTATTCTTTCACCGGAGAAACACTTCTCATTGAAGCCGCAAGAAAGTTCAAGCTTAAAGGCAGAGGAGCCTGTCGTTATTCCTGTGAGAAATAATGGGCCATGGTTTCCTTTACTTCCGATCACGTCGCAAAGTAGCAATAGGGCTTCCTCATCTATTCTAAAACCTATCCCTGTGAAAAGTAGTCCTGCTTTAGAGGAACAACCTAGCAAATCTATTTCCTCCAGTAACTCATTTTTTGGTGTCTCAGATTGGTTCAAGTAAAAGGAAGTTAGTGATATAAAAAGTAAATCTCTCCTGTGGGAATAGATTTTTGTTGGAAAGTATCAAAAACCAACGAGTACCGAGGAAGTCTGCCATATAAACTGAGAAAATGAAATTGCATTGACTTGATAGGCTGACGTCAGTTGAAAAATTAGTTGGAATTTGGTGATAAATCCAGAGTATAGAGTATGAGGTTCATAGCATTCCAATCAGGTAATCGCAAATTCTACCTCTGCTCAAGAGACATGGTATTTAAGTGCAGACAATGATAGCAAATTAAGATTTTCAAAGATTGAGGTAGGTTGGTATGCAGTGTGAAGGAAAGTTTGTGTGCTTCAATTCAGATTGATATGATGAGGTATGCGTAGGCCACGTTCTTTGAAAAATTAGAAAATCTGACCATTGAAAGAGCATTTTCCAAACATCCTACTGAGGGCAAACTTTTTCTTCCTTATTAAAGTACCTATCCAGGAGCAGTTTTGCACATGCTAGTTCAAAGAGTGAATAGTATCATTAACTGCAGGGAGCTCATTGCAACATTACCTTATTTTTTAATTTTCCATGAAAAAAACAAAGAAGAAATTTACTAATTGCAAATAAACCCTTTGCACAGAATTCTAAGATTTTTAGGTGGCTAATTCCTCCTTGTCTAATGAAATGATCGTCAGGTAAACTCACTCTGAATGAATTTTTAAAAAGAGACAGTTTAATTTTTCTGTGAAAAAGCTTGCTGAACAGATGTGATATGCAAAAAGTGTCCCTAGTAGTAAGTACCCATATGATTTACATGTTCGTGAAGAGAACTATTTTTTATTTTTTCCTTTATTTATTTATTTATTTATTTATTTATTTATTTATTACATTTTTTCATTGTTTGTAATTTATTGCGTTGAATACGAATAAAATGTTTATCATTTGTTCATAATTGTCATTAATTTAACCTAATTCAATTAAACTTGACCACCCTTGAATTAAATCAGGACCTATAACTAACAAGGGGAACTTACGGACCTGCCGCCTCCGATTGGGCTGAATTTTTTTTTACAGACTCTATGGACCAATTCTAGAGGTCAATTTGAGCCGTTTTCCCGAATGCGCAATAGGAAGGGCGTAAAAAATTCCCAAAAGTTGCGTTTTCGGCGTGTGATTTGGTCGTGCGGCGCGTGGCAACACTGAAGCAGCCTCTAGAACCGCTTTATCGGCCTGAAGGTTTCAGCGGAGTCCGGAGCCCTACTGCACACGAACTGCGGTTCCATGATAGTGACGTCCCGGGTTCGATCCTCGACTTTTTATTTTCCGCATGATCACGTAACATTTTATTTTTAATTCTTCATCCGCATTTATAAATCAAGCAGTTCCGATCACTATCCCCCTCATTTTACGTACATTTTCCCCCGATATTTATTCACATTGGCCACATATAATCGTATGAAACTTCATTGATATAAATTAATGAATTAAAAAGCAAAAGAAAACCTTATTTGTTACTACATTATCTTCAAATGTTTTCCTGGAAAAATATGTAATGTGTAAATAAATCGAAGAGCAACCCCAAACCCATGTGCATGCAAGGGTCACCAAGAAACACATTATTTTAGCCCTTTGCTTTTTAATTCATTAATTTATATCAATGAAGTTTCATACGATTATATGTGGCCAATGTGAATAAATATCGGGGGAAAATGTACGTAAAATGAGGGGGGGGGGGATAGTGATCGGAACTGCTTGATTTATAAATGCGGATGAAGAATTAAAAATAAAATGTTACGTGATCATGCGGAAAATAAAAAGTCGAGGATCGAACCCGGGACATCACTATCATGGAACCAGTACGTGTGCAGTAGGGCTCCGGTCTCCGCTGAAATCTACAGGCCGATAAAGCGGTACTAGAGGCTGCTTCAGTGTTGCCACGCGCCGCACGACCAAATCACACGCCGAAAACGCAACTTTTGGGAATTTTTTACGCCCTTCCTATTGCGCATTCGGGAAAACGGCTCAAATTGACCTCTAGAATTGGTCCATAGAGTCTGTAAAAAAAAATTCAGCCCAATCGGAGGCGGCAGGTCCGTAAGTTCCCCTTGTAAGATTATTATTAAAAAAAACAAAAATAATAAAAACAAATTAAATATATAAATAAATAAATTAATAAATTATAGGCTCTGCTTTAGAAGCGCAATCCTGCATCATTTTGGTATGCGAAATTTTAGGTTTTGAAAAATCATGGTATTAATGATATTGGCGCGGAGAAGGAAATAAAATTATTACCAGGAAACAAATATATCTTCACTTGTTTAAAGAATGCACACGCAGGTTCAGATGAGAATTGACTGTCTTTTTTTTCAAATCTAATGCTGTATCATCACTTCTAATCTCGCCAAACATCTGCGGTCGTCGGTCGGCGCGGAACGCGCATTAGCGCCTACAAGATTGCAAGAATACTTTACGCATTACGCCAAACGCAGCGCAGTCGTCGATCGGCACCGAACGCGTATTAGCGCCTACAAGACTGCATGAATACTTCACGCATTGCGCCAAACGACGCGGTCGCCGGCGCGACGCGGACGGAAGCGCGATTTTTTACCACAGATTTTCAACTCGGAACACTGACAAATCCCATTACAGCTTAGCCACCTGAGCGCTTCTCCCATACGAACGTATTTGAGCTTTCCCGTTTGTTTCATTCATGCCGTTCTCCGAGGGTAATTTTATTTCGGTTTCAATTCTATTTGTGGCGCTCCGGCTATTATGAGTGGTGGTAGCCACATCCGGTCAAGTCACCTATCATCCTATGGAACGATTGGCAACTCAGCACAGCCCGTCTGAGGCACCGCATAACTATACTTATCATTTATATAGATTACGTAGAGGTCGTGAGATCAATGCTTCGAGCTGATTCAGTGAGTTTATGAACAGCAGCATAGGTGATATCTCCGGCCGGTCTCGCCCCTGTTTCAATCACCTTCACATCACAATGCTCTTCTTATACATGATTTTAATTCCTCCGGTGAGTGTGATAATAATATTAATAACTAGCGACCCTTACGTGCTTCGCACGTAGCAGTTTATGCTGACTGAATGACAGGAGAAAAAATACGGTGATTTTCAGATTCAGCTGCCAAAATTCTGTCCTTCATTCTCTTCTTCCCCCTGGTAAAAATGGGCAGTAGAATCTGTGTTCCAAAATACCATAGACCTAAAGCCGGCTGTATTTCCAATAGCTTCTGTGGCCGGCTGTACAATTTCTTATAGCCTTATATAGCTGATAGTCCGGGGGCATACGTGATCCCGTGTGCAGGTTTGTGAAGGCATATTGTGTGATACGTCAATCTCTTCGTTTTGATGTCTAGAAAAAGAAAATCGATGATGGCCATCTCAAATTTCATACAAACCCCCCCAAAATCAAGATGGCGGCCAAAATGGCGGTTTTGGGGTAAAAAAATTTAAAGTTTGCAAATACGTCGTGTCGGGTATCGATTCTTATGTATTTTTGATCGTAGAGTCCGAATTTTCAGTCAAAAGTTAGCTCAAAGGTCATTTTCAGGCCAAAATCCAAGATGGCGTCCAAAAATACCTCTTACGGGTGATAATTTGCCTATTCGGGTCTACATGCATTGTGAGGTATCAATTATTAGGTTTTCAGGGTCGTAGAGTCCGAAAATGAGGTCCATTTTCCACTACGGCCCTCAAGAAGCCCTAAAATCAAAGATGGCGCCCAAAATGGCCGCCGGTCTTGCGGATGAAACTGCCATTTAGGGCAGCTATAACAAACAATACGTTCAAAATTAAGTTTCTTGGGTCAAGAAGTTCAAATAGGAGATCAGATGTTTACTCCTACAAAAAATTAAGCCTCCGAATCGAAAATGGCTGCCGACATTGTTGCCAGTTAAAGGCGCAGACCGGTAAATGACTGATATTAAGGGATTTGCCGAAGGAGGGGTTTCGATAAGGGCCGTTGTTGGGCCCATACCCTGAAATTCTTCAATTTTACGATTGTTTGCTCATTTAAAGACTAAAGTTTGCGGAATGTATCATGATTTTGTCATTTCCGGTCTATTTAGGGGTCTAATACCGGCCTAAACATGAGACTAAAGGCCGATTTTGGCGAAAAATGCGGGGTTTTTTACATTCGACGTGACGCTGTTTCATAACGATCCCATCATCGGAGGAGATTGTTGTCCTTAAAGTACGTTCATTAAGGATGTAAGATAGTCACTTTGCCCAATTTTCGTTGATGGCAAACCTTGCGCTCAGAGTTAAAACGATCTTCTTATAATTTTCTTGTTTTTCATCGTTATTTAAAATGGCATAGAAAGGGCGACTCATCTTAAACCAGAAATAGATTCCTTGGTGGAAAATGTACGCAGCTTGCCATAACTGTCCTCCAAAAAATTAATGGATTAAAGCCTCCCCCCCCCCAAAAAAAAGGAAAACCTGTGTTGCCATATTTTATTGCCTAACATCACAGAAAACCGCGTGATTATATCAGTATTTGGAGGCTGTTCTTCGTAGAGCACATTATTAGCAAAGCTCAAAACCCTTGATTTTTCATACGTTACGATCGCATGATTAGTGATTATATAAATGCAATGGAGATGTTGCATGTGTGAGGAATTTGCAATTTGACTATGGATTCTTATGTAGAAGTTCGCGAGAAACACGATGGTGCCAATGGCTTTCTCTGAAATCAACTTCCAAGCTCAAAAAAAGCTCTTAAGTTGAGACCAAAATGGAGGGGATATCCCGCGCTATCCTGAGAGTCCACCTGTACATCAAGACAAACTCTCCATGCAAAGATAGGGAGCAAATACATTAGCAAGGTTGCTGCGTTTTCTGTTGTGGAGTCCCCAAATAAAGTGGTAGCCCTGTGAATGTACTTGCTCCTTATCTTTGCATAGAGAGTTTGTCTTGATTTAGAGGTGGACTCTCAGGATAGCGTGGGATATCCCCTCCATTTCGGGCTCAATTTGAGAGCTTTTTTTGAGCTTGGGAGTTGATTTCAGAGAAAACCAGTGGCACCATCGTGTTTCTCCCGAACTTTTACGTAAGAATCAACAATCAAAGCGCAAATTCCTCATATATGCGAAATCTCCATAATCCATCATTATTTTGTTTATTATATGTAAGTATCTGTAGAGACTCCCATCGTGGCGCGGCATTCGTACATATCATCGGTAAAAATCGAGAAAAATCCTAGTTGGCCGAGGATTTCAGCCACTTTCTCGGAATATGAGCATTTTGAAATAAATATGTGAGACTCGAATTGCAGTATTCAGAGATGCAAGTAGATTATATTTTGTGTTAGTGATAATTGCTTTAAAATTTTGGGCTTGTAGGTGGCCCATTATCTTACGAATTTAGTACACGATATTTACAAACGAAGGTGCAACTTTGAATCATTGACCGTGATCTGAGATCCGAAAAAAAAGTAAGCCATGTGTCAGAATCACGAGTGCTTAATGCTGATTTTTCACCACCCTGACAATCCCTGCCCCCCGCCATTCTTAT